GGCAGTATAGATATTGGTGACGAACAAGCTAACTATCAATATACCTTTTGGGATACACCCGGATTCGAAAGTTGGGATCGAGAAGCCATCCGTAAGTATCTGAAAACAATCAAAACAACACCCAAATCTAGTATTATTTGTATGATCTACTGTGCTTCGCCTGGTTCTTCCGCCAATCTTCAACAACTCGGATGGTTATTGGATGAATGCATCAAACTGCACATTTTCTGTGCACTCGTATGTACAAATAAATCGTGTCGGGATAGAAAGCGTCGCGATGCTGTCATCAATGATTTTCAACATATACTTCAACGACATCAGACGAAAACGCGAGACGAAAATGGAATAGCCTATTTCGGAAATGTAGGTCTATGCACAAGTGTCAATAGCGTTGCTTTTACCGACGACGAAACGAATAAGAAATACGAACAATCGGGTATTGATGAACTCATACTTGGGATAATGGAATCATTGGATGATGACAAATTAGCACAATGGTGTGCGGTCATATTTGAGAATAAATCATTTTGGAAGAAACTCTCAGGATATTCAGAACAGCTGAAAAGAATCTTGAATAAACTGATTCATACGCAATGGAACGAAGATTGAAACGTTTATTAATAACATTTCTCTTATTCAACATAAATGATTTTTTTGTGCTTTTCTCAGCTCTTCAAAATAACAAAAAACACGAATTCTTTCTTCCTTTCTTATCGCTTTGTAAACGTGTAGCATCGATAAGGACGACAGGAAAAAAAATCACTTCTACTCGGTAAAGTTCGTTTTTTTCATTTTCAGTGAATAAATAACATGTCAAAACCAGAGTAGCTGCCTAAGTCGACTTATAATATAAGTGACCAATTCCTAGCACACTACAATCCCTATCTACAATAGAAATAGAAGTGGATTTAGTTTGAGTTATGTATACACAGCCACACCCTCAGATGGTTTGAAGACATCCAGGAAACTTCCGATCGAACATAGATCTCATGGATTCATATATGTGTTTTATGCGCTTTGAAATAAGTGAAAATATTGATCATAATGGCACGCATTGCGAACAAATTTTTATTTCATCATAGTATCGTTACATAAAATGACATTTTATTTCGGTTGCTTTGATGAATTGTTTTTATTTTTCCCGATCGTTCTTGAACTTAAATAAAAAACAACTGTTTTCCCTGTACAATTCATACGTTCTTCAAACATATCAGCGAAAATATATCCTTACAACCATATTACTCAATATTCCGAATCGATCAAAAAAGCGTCGCTTTTTTCTGTACACAAACGTGCAATTATACATGTCACCGATTTCTGACTCTTCAACCGACAAACCACCGCAACACATAAAAACAACCATTCTGTAATAATATATATGTATATATAGACGTGTAACATGTTGGTCAGAATCCCATACAGAGAAAAATGACTGGAATAAATGTCAATGCGACTATAACGAATAGCGAATATTCGATTAACGATTGTGATGCAGCTAGTCGCCTTGGATTTGGAGGTGTTGGAAGAAGTCGAGCTCCCAGAGTGCTCCGACCGCCTGCATATGGAAGTCGTCCAGGTCTCAATCAGGGACAACCGCTTACCATCTATGTTCCGTGGACACCACAATTTGCGATGGCTTATCAACAATTTGTCAACGGTGGTGCAGCAGCTATGAATCAAGCGCCAATGGGTGCCGCGCGTATGGGTGGCTATGGAAGACCCATGCGAAGCGCTTCAAGTCGACCTGGTGTGAGAATACGTTAAGTATTCGGCAATCAATTTTATACATCAGTAGATTGTTACATATATTTTTTAAAGAAGCTAAAGCATTCGTACGCATAGTCCGTGTGTTTCCTTCTTTTGTGTATTAGTATGAAAGTGAGAAAAAGGATGTGAGTATTCTTTTTCTCAAGACTTGTTCATACTAAGATCATTTTGATTTACAATTATTTATTTCTAAATAAAATGCGCAGTTATTGAATGGAGAATATAAAAACATCTGTTCGTCAATGTTATGATTGGTCCACGCAAATTAAATGACGGCAAGTAATGTTACATCAACCCATTCATTCTCAATTTGAAAACATGGCATTATTGTACAAAAACAAAAAATGCTACGTCGCATGACGTGTTTCCTGTTGATCCATTATTCAATCTGTTGAGGAGTTGCATTGAAGATTCATGCCACGATATGTACTAAAGCTGATATACCTCTCACAGGACGTCACATCTTTGACAATAGCTCTTGTCTTTAGTTTTAGACCGAGAGCATAAAAGTGGGCAGTTCGTTACAATATCTACTCAAAATTGCGAAAGATAAGGTGAACGGCACCAACTGATGAATGAATACCGACACTGATGATGACCATTTTCCAGTTCCAATTTATTAACAGTCGGATCGCCCGGAACGACATCTTCATATTCTTTCGGAATGAGTTCTTCTTCTCTTGAAATATACAAGTCAATAGTCGTTACTGTTGTTTCTCTCTGCACCTTTCATTGATGATTCAACGACTAGCCCATCGGCTGATATTTGATCGTCTTTGAATGATTTAAAAAACTGAAAATCAATGATTGGGAGTACTTTAACTTGTTCATTTCGAATGACCATTGTTCGACGACTACAATCCGTGCATGACCAAACATTTCTTTCAAATGTATCCTGATGTTCTTTAAAATCGCTCAGATCGTTTTCATTCGGTCTATTGCCAATCACGGAAACATCTAATTTCTTTAATATTCGATCTGCATCTGCGAAATTCGTTGTCGTCATTTGATTCCTATGAACAATTGTGCTCTTATAGCAATGCAAATCATATGAAAAGAAAATAGAACCGAGTATTTTTCTTTCGGTTCACAGAGATTATTTGTTGAAAATATGAATATGGATTGCACACTTGCACAACAGATCGATATTTACACGCTCAGATGATTCAATTTTGGAATTCTAGTGTTAAAATCGTACGATAAAATAGAATATATGAATCATATCGAGTATATATTCGACAGGCGGTCATTAATTCGAAAGCCCAGGTGTACTTTTATTGATAAAAAAGAAACAAGTTATTATGTAAAATGGAACTAATTTAGTTTTCCTCTTCAGAATAGGTATGCATTATTTTTGAACAGTAAGTTATTGCATCAGCGTGGGATAGAACGGAGTTTGCGCTTAAAACTTTGTTCATATGAACATTTTGAGAAGAACCGTGGTCCATAAGGTCAATATGCATTTTCAAGAATTTCAAAATACCTGAAAAAAATTGATAGAAGTATGCAAAAACGATGTTCCGCGTCTATCGAGATTGCTATTCAAAAAAACATGCAACCATTGAGAATATCGAAAACTTCAGAAGAGCCATTGAAACAATGTTATCAATGGAGAAATACTCATCTTGCACATATCTGCCGATCAAAATCTTTCTGTATACGTGTCTGATTGAGGAAATAAGCGATGAATGTGATCGTCGATCAACGGTGAGCTGTCTACGTAGTTTGCCCGAAAACAGTTACACAATGTAGTGTCATCGCTGATGACAATTGTACTGGGAAAGAATGAAATCAATTGAATAGTTCTGAAGGTATACATTCCGATTCACAGGGTAGCTTATATGTTGCTGATTTTAATAATAATTGAGTCAAATTCTCATGTCGATAGATTTGAGTAAGAAAAAAGGAAAAATGTAAACATCGTGTGTAATAAAGCCCATATTTTATTGATTTTTTTTCTTACATTTTCTACTTTCGTATAGTGTTACAACTAATTTATTCAAAACAGCGAGCGGAACTCAGACAAATCGTTGCATATTCTTAAAAATATTTATTTGATTGGGTTCGACAACAACGAAGTTTTATACATCAAAGCCATAATAAAACACTTTTTCTACTCAAAATCACAATGTAAAAAAGAAAATAATAACTGATTATTTTTTTTCGATGTACTCAGTATCAGTAAATATATAAAAGAAATCGCTCATACAATAGTAGACCAACAGAATAATGGTAAGTAAAATTTCACATCTTTCGAATGATCCTTCAAAATAAATATCGTAGCCGAAACGAATATCTGTTCGTCCTGCGGATGTAAACATTTCAACTGTCCGTGTCATACGGGGACAAAAACCATCGATAGTCGAGAAAAAAGTACGAGAATCTCAGGTGAATGCCACCGGAACTTCAGCAACAACTCCAAATGATCAATCATCACGCTATTCTCATGTTGACCAACAGAGAGCTACATTATCGCAAATAAATCTCAACGATCCAAATGGACGTCTGGTGAATCGCCTGTCCGATACCAATGACAAAACATCGATCAATGTAAATAAATGTCACAATTAAAGGTGTATGCTTTCGCGTTCTTTTTTTGTAGACCAAATATGATTACGACACACCATTATATCATCGATCATCATCGATTCCTTCTAGTAGTGCTCCGATAATACCAATGGAGGTCATTTTTATCATTAAATTGTTTCATATAACAAGATTGTTTCATTCAGATGATCCGATTAAACAGAAACGATCTACAAGAGGCCGAACGTAAAAGAAAGAGACGTCGAAGGTTGTAGAATATGCCCTTGCGATTCTATCTGAACAATATTTTATGGATTATTTAGAGGTGGATTCTTCCATATCACGCCATGTTGTTGTTGCTGCTTAATAGCCACTGCAATTGCTGCAGTACTACTTTTAGCATTGATCGCTGCCATTATTTTTATTGGTGAGAATGTATTCAAGAATGACATGTGATAAAACAGAAGAATTAAAATTTGCAATACAGACTAGTTGCATAATCTGAACATTTTCCTTTTTTAGCTTTGCAACCAAAACGTACAACAACAACAACAACAACGACGACGACAACGACGACAACAGCCACAACTACAACAGAAACAACCACAACCGCAACAACTGGCATCATCGAATGCACTACTTGTGAGTGTCTCTATATTTTCTCAACAATTTATCCCATACGCATCTCACGTTTTTTTGTGACAGGTTCTACAAATTACACATGGAATAATACGGATACGGAGATGAGTTGTACTAGCGTTTCCACGATTAAGGATCCTAATAGTATAAACATTGGTCCTGATGGGTCAATTTATCTTGCTGGTCACACTATAGGACAAGTGCTGATGTGTGGAAATTCAACGAATACTACTGCAGTAACAGCTCAGTATGGCGATCACATTGATTATATAACATTTGATAAGAATGGAACAATGTATACAAACGCTCATGATAAAAAACTGGTCCGTCGTTTTGCACCAGGCAATTCAACTGGTGAGATTGCTGTAGGAAGTGGTCTCACTTATCCGGTAGGCACTGCTGTCGACGACAATTTTAATCTTTACATCGGTGACCAACATGCTAATCGAGTGGTGAAACTAGGTACCAACACATCAACCCTTTCCGTTGTCATTAATACTAGTAATTACTTCAGTAAAATGTCGGCACTTTTACTTTCATCGAACTCTCCAAACGAAACTTATATAAGTGATGAAGGCGGTCTTAATGTTTATCTGTGGAAATTTGGCAACTCGGCTCCTAGTGAGATTTATACAACTGTTTGTGTTTCTAATTTCTCTTCAACACTGGATAAGCCTCGAGGTCTTAAACTAGATTCGTATGGAAATCTGTACGTCGCAGATCAAGATAATAGTCGAATAGTGGTATACTGTGGGAATTCAACGATCGGTTCCGTTGTTGTCAATACAAATGGTAAACCAAGAGATTTTGCTTTTGATGCGCATATGAATATGTACGTTCTCAACGATGCTGGAAAAGTATTAAAATACAATTTGATATAATTGAGTTTTGAAACAAATAACACTTCTAAGTTTTTATTTTTTCATTATAATCCGATCGCTTTCTTCTGTATTATTTACTCTCTTACCATGGTTATTCGAATAACAAAAATGTACCAGACATAATAATTTTTTGCCAGTACTTTTCAGACATACTAGATGTAACATATTCAAATTAGTTGTGCTTATACTTTCAACAATAAACAATTATTAATCGAAACTCCTACACACGATGGTTATCGAGTGGCTAATGGAAAATTAGACATTTTGAGGAGGATGTAAGTAGTGCGACAAGTTATAAATCATTCAGAGGATTATATGTCAATGTCGATGGCGATGCAAAGAATATGTGAAATTGTGTAGCATTATAGTATTCTTTCCTTTATTATCGTTCATATGTCATCAAGATGATTACATGAGACCTAGTGCTTCTGTTAGCGTATATAAATACTTCTTTCTGAGTACTTCACTTCATGTATTTTCACGTTAGGGATACAAAAAAGAGACGATGCGCGAAGTTTCACTGAAGACCAACAGGACAACAGATCAGAATTATTTTTACATTCATGGATTTAAATATAATTGTGTAATTTCATTTGATGTCAACTCTCGGGAGTACAATCGGATTTCATCAAGACTTCCATAGAATTGTTTGTTTGGATATGACGACCCACAAGAGGTACCTCCAAGTGGATTTCCAAAGATAAGTGTGTCTAGGGAGCCACTAGCTGAATATGAAGTTGCCTTCAATGTATAAAGAGTTCCGTTTATATACAATCCCACTCCATTGCTTGATGAAAATGTATAAACAACATGAATCCAGACATTGATAGGCATAATTGGTCCACTAATGACAAGATTAGAAACACCATTGAAAATTTGTAGTTCAAGTGCCCCGGTAGCCGTTAATCCCATGAATCGAATGCACCACCCCGTTCCTGAAGCGGTCGCAGAAAGATGAGCAATAGTGCCGCCACCATCCAATGAATTCGTCTTGAACCAAACTGACAGTGAGAAGGGCCAATTTGAAGTGCCCAGTAGAACAAGACCTGTCACTCGAAAATACGATCCAGAGACGGAAAAATTCACTGCCTGATCAACAACACCAGAGGCTATCGATGCAGTACCATTACCCCAACTTCCATTGATTAGGTTAGGGCCTGAGTCAATCAATGGCGTAGAAGAACGAAAAGGAAAGTAAAAAACTAGTGTAGCATCATCTAGAATCTCGCTTGCATTTTTCATTCGGGAATTATATAACACTTGATCCATATACCCAACGAAAGGGTATTTATAGGAGTTGCCGTCAATCGTCGTGCGACAACCGAATACCACATTTGTCGAAGTTGTTTGAAGAGATGCCATCATAACTTGAGTAGCTTCTAAAATACCATTACGGTACATGGATCTTTTGTTTGATGTGTCATCATAAACAAATGCCAGATGAGACCATGCATACGCAGGAATATTTGTAGTACCACTAAGACTATTGTTCGAAAATGTAAACCACATCATGTCATTCCTTGCGGTTAATATTAAACATTGCCTAGAAAGAGTCGTATTTCTGCATTGACTAATGAACGTACTATCATTCGCCGGTATTACTGTTGGATAAATCCAAAGCTCCCAAGTAAAACTTGCGTAGCTCATATTCAAATACGGATAAACATTAACACATTTAGCGATATTACCATCCAATGCGAGAGCTGTACCATAACCATTTATGCCAGTTACATACGTTGCAGAACTCGAACTAATACCTACAAATTGATTACTAGTATCATATAATGTACCATCAAATGCCCATAGAACAGTTTTTACTACAAATGAAAAAGTCAGTATTGATTTCGGTATATATCTATTCTACCTATTTGACAATACATGCCTGTCCAACCGTAGGAGCAGGTGCATATGTTCGGAGCAGTACAAACTCCCGAATTTTCGCACGGAATTGTACAGATAGGTATTGCACATTGTGTTCCATTCCTGAAGTGAAATTTATTCAAAGAATTCAAGTTGAGATGTACACTAACCACTGTGGTGTGCAAATGCACAGACCAGTCAAAGAACAGGTACCATTATTTTGACAATTTGGGTTGCAAACCGGTTGTGCGATTATCGATACGAATGACTGATTATAAAACATAACCGAAGAATTGAAATAGTATTGAACTACAAGTGAATTATTATCGGGAATGAATAATTGACACGTATTGTTTATTTGAAAATAATTCAAAGCAAGGATTGATCCACTTAATTTTGCCATTTCACAGATACATTGGTTTTGACTTGTATTTGATAGTAACTGAATGGAAATACCCATGAGAATGCGATTTTCTATTTTACCAATTTGGATTGAGCCAATTGTGAAGAACAAAGAGAACATCACAACAGTTCCGAACATGTTTGATACACTCCAAAGAAATTGTGTATGATAATTACCGAAAACCGTTTCAGATCGTTTTTTTCTTCTCACGTTTGCTCGAGAATGAATATTTAATCACTATAAAACGACGTATATGCTGTTATATCCGTTGTGCTGATATTTTTAAAAACTGCATTCTCATCGATGATTGTGACACACCTATGGCAACAGGAAAGTGAAACTTCACTTTGCTATTCGCACGAATGCATACTTCTTTAACACCCTCAGTTTTAATAATCAAATTGCTGACGGTTAGCGTATATGACAAAGAACACTTTTGCTAATTATTTAGTCAGAGTATGTTGAAATGGGAGAAAAATATGTTTAAAATACTATGCCAGCAAGACGATAAACCGTATAGAAGGGAAAATGTGGATAGAATCGAAGTGGATACAATTATTCTCCAATTTTGTTGTATTAATATTCCATGATAAACATATCAGATTTCAACTAAAACGTGGTTTATTCCTGAACATGTAGAAATTTCATACAAGAGTAGTTAGGTTTACCTAACTATGATTGTTCATGCTTCTCTCATTGATCAATATAATCACCAGGTGATACTGAAGCAACCTTTCGAAGCTCTTGGTCAGCTTGTGTATTAATCATTGAGTTGCTACGGTTATTTTTTGCTTGTTAATGTTAGCAATAACTCGTGAGCACATTTCATAGTTAGAAAATAAAAAACAGCAGAGGAACGGATGAGAAGGAGAAGTTAGTCACAATCGTAACTAAGAAGAAAACAGTCGTTCTTCGCATCAATTTTTAAATTACTTTTGTTTCTGAAGGCAAAGAAAATACAAAACTTTTTAAATACAATTTCTAATGTTTCCACACCTTGTATTAATAAAACAGCAAAACTTCAGTTCTCCCTGCTCTGAGAAATGCATAAAACAAAATTTACATTTTGTATGTAAAATCTAATCGATTGATACCAAAGTTTATTGAGCGGCTGTTCTACTTTGAGTTTATCGGTTTCGACGCATCTTTCAGTTCTTCTTCTGAACAGCTTACAGCAATAGATCAGTAGAACAGTTTTCCTTCAACAAGGCCTTCATCGAGAATAGAATCGTTCGAACCACTTGAAAATGAATGAAAAATCTACTCGGACTACGGCATCAACACAATGGTGAAGGATATAAATTCGAACACTTTTTCAACCAAATTACAAAGTTGTGCTTGTGAATTGAGGAGATGCTGATGTAAAAGAAACCCAGATACAGATTCGTGATTTTAAATTACTGATAAACACCTGTTGCATTACTGTTTCATCGTTATATTTTCTGACACCTACGAAATCTATTTTCATAAAGTATAAAATCGGTATCAGAACAAATATGAAAACATTCTTCTTCAAAAGAAAAAAGTAAAACATGACTATGATTATCTACGCTTCCATCCTTCTTCTTTTGATCAGCACAATCAACGGGCAACGTAAGCAAATTTGCATTCAGCGTAGTTTGAATAGCTTGGATTGTTTTATTCAATAGAATCGGTATGTAAAGCCAACGAAACTTTCCGAGGCTGCGGTGCGAATTGTGTTGAGACATGCGACTTCAAGCCTCATATATGCATGGCTGTATGCAAATCCGGTTGTTTCTGTAATGATGGATATGTTCGTCAATCATCAGCAGCTGATAGTCCATGTGTTAAACGTGAAACTTGCAAGCAGAAAGAAGATACGTCGGTTTGCGGCGCCAATGAAGAGTATCGAACGTGCGGATCAGCTTGTGTCGAAACATGTACTTTCAAACCTCAAATATGTACTGAACAATGTGTTGCCGGTTGCTTTTGCAAGAATGGTCATGTTCGTCGTGATAGCAACAAAAAGAGCTCATGTGTTAAACGACAAGAATGTTAGAGATAAACTATCAATATCGTTCGATATTATGATAAAATAAATAAATAGAGAAAAGAGAAGAACGAAAAAGAGTGATGTAAAGAAAATCGTTGTCACGTGTGACGATCGATAGGACGAAAAAGCAAAAGACGCGATAAAATACAAAATAAATATTTTTCAACAACGTGTTTTTATCTTTTATCAGCACAAAGAATACTTGATAAAGTTTCACTTGGAATATCAAAAAAATTCTCATTGACAAGCATCGATTATGACCGAAAGCTTTCATCAACGCCAAGTACATGATACAAACAACGAACCTGACACCCCACCATCATCCTCCAATGATCGAATATTCGCTCCGCTCAATATTCCATGGTACCGTCGTTTTCAGACATTAACAATCGTGGTCTGGTGGTTATTACCATGGTTTTGCTTGTACTTAACGATATATTTTCTTTTCTATTGCAATTGTTATTCGACAGCATTCATGATAGTCTATATAACATGGATGGTGAAATTTCGAACGTTTCCTAAGACAGGTGGACATCGTCAACAATGGTTTCGTCGATGTATTTGGTGGAAATGGTTTGTTGGTTTGTATCGAGTATTTACATCGACGATTTCTTGATTCTAAACTTTTCCTTTCAGACTATTTCCCAATACACTTACATAAAACATGCGAATTACCATCCGATCGTTCGTATATCTTTGGTTATCATCCTCATGGAATCATTGCCTTGGGAGGATTCGGCAATTTTTGCACCGAAGCAACTGGTTTTGAAAGATTATTTCCTGGTATTAATGCTCGTTTTCTTGTATTAAATTCCAATTTTCAAATACCATTCTACGATTTATTCTTGACAATGGTGGGCGCATGTGACGCATCGAAAGAATCGTGCAATTACATCCTTAGACAAAGTCATGGAAATAGTATTGTATTGGTTCTCGGTGGTTCAAAAGAAGCATTAGATGCACATCCCTCATCGAAATATATGTTGACACTGAAAAATCGCAAAGGTTTCGTTAAAGTTGCATTGGCCAATGGTGCGAGTTTAGTTCCTGTGTTTTCATTTGGCGAAAACGATTTGTATGAACAAGTTTCGAATCCACGTGGATCAACATTACGATCGATACAAATGCATTTACAGAAGATAATGGGTTATTCGCTACCACTGTTCCATGGACGAGGCATTTTTCAATATAAAATCGGTCTGTTACCTATCCGTCATCCTGTTCATACATATGTTGGTGAACCGATTCAAATACCTAAAGTGTCATCGGAATTGATTACATCGAAACTGATTGATGAATATCATCAGAAATATATGGATGCATTAGAACAATTATTCGATAAATATAAGACGAAACATGGTGATATGAATTCTTCGATTGTGTTTGTCGATGATCCTAGTGTTTAAACAGATACTCTACTTATATTCTGTGTGCTATTAATAAAAGCAAAGTTAGGTTACATATGTTTCTTTTTATTTTTTCGATCAGGAGAAAATTCAATTGAGTTCATTGTTCGAACACGCTTTTTCTTTGAATTACCAAAAGTATGTTTTGTCATGCAAGGGTATTGCGTAAAAACCAAGCGTAACAGGAATTGTTTTATCAGAAATAATTCCATACGTTTCGAATGTACGATCGTCATCCATCGGACCTGGATGAAGTCGGAGCCCGTTTCCATGATATGTAACACCCAACCATTCACAGATTAATAATCTCAGCTTAAAAACTTTATCGGATGGTTCGATTTCGAATACTTTGGTTATACCATTTAATGTTTTAACTGTTATTTTCATGTCGCTGATGGATGTAACAAGACGAAGAAGAGAAATGAGGAGATTTTATTTTGGATTTTTCTTTTTCTGCTTGTACGCGATAATGACGTATGATAAACATGACTACACGTCAGGTTATACGTTTGAGTGATGTAAGAAGGTGCTCTTTCTTCCAACATTTGCTTGAGATCTTATTGCATACATGTACGAAAAACAATACTGTTAAGAATACTTAATTCGTCATCTAGTTTAGCATAAGAACACACCCGTCGTATATACATACTTATTTTTATGAGGCATAAATCGGTTATATTCAGCCAAAAGATGGAAAATACTTTATGTTTCGACTGCATCAACTCAATTCGTGGTGATGATATCCCACGCTTCACTTCTAGATATAACACGTCTATATGTCTGCCAACACAACTGATATATGTAATAATCGAATATAGGAGATAGAACCAAAATAGAAAGACGTGCTTTCTTATTTCTTCATACGCCTACCGGTAATTTCTCTCATATAAATAACAACGATCATACACAATCCCAAAGCATGAAATTAACATACATTATTTCCGCTATTGTATTTACGAGTATTATTATTCAAAGTATGCGACCTACTATCTCAGTAAATCCAACATCGGCTTTTCTAATTTTTAGATGTTCAAGCAATAGGATGGGCAATTGTTCCAGAAATCGCTTCTCTTGCTGCACCTATTCTCAAAGCTATACATGATAATGTGAAACATATGGGAAAATCACACGCAACGTACCTCGAACTTATCAATGATTCAAATGGCGGATTACAAATTGAAGTTTCTGAGGTGGATAATTATGACTGGGATGGTAAATCACGTCCAGATCATACGTTTAATCGCGTTGTTATTCCACGTTATAAATCAGTCAAACGTCGACAAGAAATAAATGCAAAGAGTCGAAGTGCTATGAGTACGATGAAATTTCGTTTTCGAGGAAAACCAGCTTTTTCAATCCGTATTGATCAATGGGCAGCATTGTCGGATAAAGTACACGAAAAAGAGTTCAAACTTGAAAACGGATGGATCGCCCGCATGAAAGCTGGCATCAACAAAAATACTCTTCAATACAGATTTCGAAAAGGTTGAATCCTTGTTTTACTTGTGTATTGTAAAAGATAACGATCCGCATGTTTCATTTCTCTTTTGATTATTCATGTACTGAATAAATTGATCTATGGCAATCGTCTCGCCTTAGCGGAATCAACGCTAAGTCTGAGAAGACAAAATCTTTGAAAAAGCCATCTGTTCATTAGAAACGTATACTTAGAGATCATACTAATACAGTGATCGTTACATTCTTCTCATTGTCAAAAAGACGATGTGAGAAATTGTCGGATGATTTACCAACAATCCTGTACGAAAAAATCACATTGTCCTCCATATGTTAGTTCTCCAACGCTTACGAATCGTTTGTAGAGGCACATATATATTCTTATGTACACAGTTCGCTTCCTTTCTATCTAACATCTATTACGATAACGCAATTTCCATTTTGACTCGTACTAGCGATTATTGAATTTATTTTCAAGTTTATTAGTGGATGATTTCAATGACCGTTTCATGCATAAATGACAATATAGTATTAAATGAAGAGGGAACTAATGAATAAGTGAGTAAGAATGGCAAAGAAAAATAAGAAACAACAAGAATTTTAGGCGAAACCGTGCAGAACAGAGAAGATAAACATAAAACGTAACAAAATGCGAAGATTACTGTTTTCCTTTAGTCTATAAGCGGCTTTCAATTTCACTTTCACCAGCTTAGTATTTCAAAACCGTCAATCTGTCTACCCATTACTGGTGGCGGTGGTACTATCGGTGGTTGTGGTGGTATCAGTGGTGGTAATAGTGTCGGTGGTGGTGCTGGTATCCGTGGTGGTAATAGTGTCGGTGGTGGTGCTGGTATCCGTGGCGGTGCTAGTGTCGGTGGTGGTGCTGGTATCCGTGGTGGTGCTAGTGTTCGTAGTGGTGCTAGTGTCCGTAGTGGTGCTGGTATCGGTGGTGGTGCTAGTGTCGGTGGTGGTACTAGTATCGGTGGTTGTAGTAGTGTCGGTGGTGGTGCTGGTATCCGTGGTGGTGCTAGTATCCGTAGTAGTACTGGTATCGGTGGTGGTACTGGTCTCGGTGGTTGTAGTGGTATCAGTGGTGGTACTAGTATCGGTGGTGGTGCTAGTATCAGTGGTGGTACTAGTATCAGTGGTGGTACTAGTATCAGTGGTGGTGCTGGTATCCGTGGTGGTGCTAGTGTCGGTGGTGGTACTAGTATCGGTGGTTGTAGTAGTATCAGTGGTGGTGCTGGTATCGGTGGTTGTAGTGGTATCAGTGGTGGTACTAGTATCGGTGGTTGTAGTGGTGTCGGTGGTTGTAGTGGTATCCGTGGTGGTACTAGTATCGGTGGTTGTAGTGGTGTCGGTGGTGGTACTAGTATCAGTGGTGGTGCTGGTATCGGTGGTGGTGCTGGTATCCGTGGTGGTACTAGTATCGGTGGTTGTAGTGGTGTCGGTGGTGGTGCTGGTGTCGGTGGTTGTAGTGGTATCAGTGGTGGTACTAGTGCCCGTAGTGGTGCTGGTATCGGTGGTTGTAGTGGTGTCGGTGGTGGTACTAGTATCGGTGGTTGTAGTGGTGTCGGTGGTGGTACTAGTATCGGTGGTTGTAGTTGTTGGCGAACCAGTGGTGGTGGTCGTTGGCGGACCAGTGGTGGTGGTCGTCGGTGGACCAGTAGTGGTTGTGGCCGGTGGACCAGTGGTGGTTGTCGTCGGTGGACCAGTGGTGGTTGCCGTTGACGGAGCTGTGGTGGTAGGACCAGTTGTAGCTATTGTAGATGATGCTGATGTCGTTGACGTAGAAACTGTTGTTACTATAGTTAGAAAACAATGTAAAGAAGGTCTGAAAGGAATATTTTCGAATTTTGACGATTATGCTGGTGAAAGCATGGGAAAAGAACAAGCGTTTCTCAAATAAATTTTTATGCATTGTTTTCTGTACCTGGAACTGGTTGATTGAAAGAACAAATCCGAAGTGATGTTGTGATGGTGGTTCCATTGGCTAATTGAATTTTCAGTGATATCGAACCCGAGCTGAATACTGATTGAATGGTTGCTTGAATACTTCCTGAGCATTTTTCAATGCATTTATCAGTTTTACATTGAGACCCGGGGCACGAGTTAAGATAAAACGTAACAAATAGCCTGGCCTTCCCTTTGCTAGTAGCTCGGATTCCACGTACAGTATTGTCACAGGACAATTCACTACTCGAGAGAAAGATTATATTCGACAAGATCTATGATCGAGGAACAAACCTTGTTTGACGTTTCCTCTTCTTCTTTTTTAGATTTTTAGCCGTTGTGCTCATAATATTGGCACTTGTAACAGTGACTTCTTTGTTTTTATAACCAAGATGGTCATTAAACTAAAATGAAAATATTCAAATTAGAATCAAATCGTAGAGATTCTTAAATTAATTACTTGTTGAGTTAACGAATCATAGTTTGTTAGTTGAAGTGATGATGCATCGTTGTCAATATTGCTAGCAAACGATGCAGTAAGTAATCTCACTATAATGCGAAATCAATATCGAAACTTATGAAATTCAAATAATTTTCATATTCATACCTTTGTTATTCGTGCTAACATTTACGCTAGTACCTTTTGTTGGCAAATACAGCGGAATCAACGCAAGCACAACCACTGCAGCAATTATGAACAAGACACCACCGAGACAAGCAGCAGCCAGACAAGGTATCCAAAGTGAATTTTGCCTAGACAATAAATTGAACAGACAAATGAAATAGCAACATATTGTATTTTCATACCCAGCTACTGACTGTGGAACTCCATCGAGACGTTCAGTGCGACGGTTGGTGAAATATGTTCTAATAGCCGACAGGGATATCATTGCTTTGGCAAATCCTGATAAATTTGACTTTTCCCTATGGAAAAAATTTGACGATCACCAATCCATCATAGTAAAATCCTACTTACTTTGAATCTCTGTGTTAATTGTGTGGATTAGAAATGAAATAAACAGGTGAATATCAATGCTTATATATATAGATAAGTGCGTACTAGGAACAGCAGTATGCTTTTGTCTGTCTCCTCCTTGTTTATGTCATGATTTGCAATTTTCCGATATCGGTAGTTTTTTGTACTTTGGATTTTTTCTTCATCTGAAACAATCCTATCCAATCGGAGGCTGTCTACGCGATAAATGAATATATGCACTCAAAAGCTTCTCTTTTATCATATGTCAGTTAATGTATTTTGTTTTTGTTCATCATCGAAGTTTAATAGCAATGAACGGAGTCGCTTGATGACGAGAATTTATTTACTATGAAACGTGTGCGTACGAATAGAAAGAGTGAAATATTTCTGTGAATATGACTTTGATTGAATAATTCTGCTTCTATAATAATTCACAAAAAAATTCTTAAGCACTATTATGAACATAAAATGGTCAAGGTAATTAGAATAGTAATTAATTAATATATCGATGATTTAGGCTTGATCACGTTTGTCTATATTTGTGATATTTTCATACCTTTTCTTTTCTTTCTTATCCTTCGTGTTATATGCTATCGGAAGTAGTACTTCCGTCGTCGGAGTGTCCTTGACGAATATCGTCAATAATATGAATATTATCATGTTTAATTGCAAAGCGATATCATTCGTTTTAAAGAATCAGTCATTGTGTATAATTATAAAAAGTGATCGAATGCAATTAAATATAGATAATCAAGTCGGAAAATTTTTTTCACATGCATTTATAAATTGTCAGGTTTTGTATGACGGGGACGTCTCTTTACGTTATCTGATTTACGAATAAACATCGGAGTTACGATTTTATCTATAGGAAGTTTTATTGGAAATTGCTTTATCGCAACAATGAATCATCTTCATAACACATTTCACTTTCAAACAAAATCCTCTCTGAGAAGACTTAGCTGTGCATAGGAGTGCAACACATAGTAGGTAGAATCTGAGCTTGAAGAAGCTCTAGGAGATGAATCATACTTTGTGTTCAGTTAGAAAACAACATCAGTAAAAATATTGAAGAAATTCATTGAGTAGGGATATGAGATTTCGCTTTTCTAGTTGTTCAGTATATTTTGCAAACAAGGGAAACAATTCGTTGTTAATAGAGATGAAAGAAACCACTGTTCTACCGACATTCACATTATCTACCACATAGAAAAGATATTATAAAAAACATTTATTTTCAAAGGTAAGTATACATCTATAATCAGAATAGGGAAACATTCGTTGTCTCTTATCGTTGCATTTAAGAGACAGTTATTGATATCACTCAAACGATTCAGGTTTCGAAGTGCCAGTTAGTAGTCCACGTCCTTATGGCAATGGATAACTACGGAAACAAATCTGTATGGTGTGCGTTACCGATTGACTTCTTGAATCATGCATAGTAAGATCATCAGAATGGTGGAACTTTCGCGCCGCTTTATTATGTGTTTTTTTTATGGTGATTGAGATGACTTCTTTTCACATGTAATGTACAATGAATATTATTTTAACAATCTGCTCTGGCTGGTCAATGTATTGTAGTAACTCTGTTCCTGGATTTCCGTCAAACGTAATTTTTCATAATCCATTTATGGAATGTATGCATGAAAACCCATGTGCTAGTTGTAAACTATTATTATATTCACATCTAGACTGCTCTGCCTGCCCGATTTCGACTTTTTCATTGATGACCTAGCAAAAACTTTCCCATTGATTTCTACAACACTACTATCAGGATTATTGACGAAATTGAATCTTGGTTCCAAGATCGCATTTGTTCCAGCAACGATAATCAACCGATTAAAATCATTCGATGAAGATTCTGCTGCAAGGACTCAATGATATTCAGTAAATAAACAATAAAGTGCATTTCTTCAGTCAACAAACAGATCTGCACATTCTTGACAAAATTTCACCATCTTGATGAATGCAGCAAACCAGTAGAGATAGTTTTTTTATGTTCCATATCCACGAAAAAAAAGAATATGTCTTGTATAGTATCTTGATCAAGGACATATATTGCATCGTTGCTATCTAAACACAGCCTTAACAACAGATGACACTTCGTAAAAGTTGAAACTAGTCAGACGTCGCATTTCGTTCACAGCGCTTTTCAGAGATAGCAACGTGATAAACAGAGAAAAATATTTCATTCCGATTTTAAGCCAGTTTTTCTCTTGAATGAAACAAACAGCAACATCAATGAACATTTCGTCAGTAGAACAGGGAATGAATGTAAATGTCCAAAAATTCGAATCACTTTTAGGACGCGAAAAATCACACACGTTGAATGCTGATTGATCGGATACGATTCCAGTAGAAAAGGACCTTCACATGGAATGAAGACTATAGTGCTATAATCTTTCACTACGTTATTTGGCCATATTTCAAAAGATGAATAACGAATGGTTCTTGAATAGACAGAAATGTTTATTAATAATTGAATAACACACATCATACGCGTGTAAAGTTAAGCAACAAACAATAGAAAACTAAAAATACGTGACAGAAAGATATGACTCACAAATCACTCTCTAAGGCATCCTCAAGATCGTGCAAAGGTACTGATCTGTTAGTAAGTATAACTGGAATCTTTGTGTCAGCAGTAATCCCATAAGACTCAAATGTACGATTGCTGTCCATGTTATAATAGCCAACTTTAAGACTATGATGATGCACGGCCAACCACTCAGAAGCAAGCAGTTTCAACTTAAGGACTTTCTCACCAGGTTCGATTTCGAAGATCTTAGTTCGACCAGTTAATAATATAGCAGTGATTTTCATTCTGTTGAAAAGAACAAGAGAATGAATTCGAAAAATATTCCATCGAAATCTATGTTGGATTTTTCTTTTTCTAACCGTTGCACTGCTGTTGACTTATGATAAAGACTCAATCTTTTCTTTTTCCTGTTTATTACAATATACTCTTTACGACATTTTCACGCGATTTTAAGAACGAAAATGTGCGCTTTCTTACGCATATAAACGCATTCTTTTGACTGATTTTGTCTCTCGGAATATATAATCCTCGCAACATCTATCGTTGCTTTTGTGAAAAGGAAGAAAAAAGTTTTTCTTTTCTTGTCACTTTATACTATTGACGAATAATGAATCATTTTCTTGTCTGAGCAACCATCACTACGATCGAGATAACATAAAAACATGATGTACATATTACTTTTAGTACACTTGATCTAACCATCTACGTAAAACAAGCAAAGCGAGAACTCTGCCTTCTATTTTGTTTTACACTGATGAAAATCTCGTCATTTTTACGCGTAGCTCGGATAAGTGCATGTTCAGAAACATTTGACGATGTGTGAGATTGTCATTGAGAGCACAAAACTTGATTTTAGATCAATTGAAACCTACTTCCAACAATCGAGATGCTCCATTCTAACCAGACAACAACCATACTCGCAACATCCCAGGAACCAATGGATATAGTGAGGATGCGTTGCTTGTCATCATAACAATGAATATTCAAGGTTCTGATGACCTTGTGATTCCTGTATGGAGCAGTGATGATTTCGAAGAGAGTGAAGATGATTACACCGATCTGATTCTATGTGAGGTCCTTTTTGGGTGTAAGAATGCATGCTTGGTTTGTATATGTATTACATTGAATAAAATATTTTACTAGTCAAGAGCATATCGCTATAATATCCTTGCTCATCGTAAAACTCGAGTAAAAAATAGTTAATTTCAGCTCCAAAATCCCTTCAAATTAACGCATGAAAGTTAAAACAAATTTTTTCTTCGTAACTTCTTGAATACTTCTATAATTTCAATAAACATACAGAACGTCATTTATTCACTTTTTTCTTACATGTGATGTCACTCTCTTTCTTTCCTGTCGAGTACTATTGCGTTGACTTTCTTCCTTTCTACACAGTACGACGTCATTCACACAGCTATTCCTGCATACATAGTGTTTTGTCGTTGACCCTTTTCTCGTGGTGAAGTACGATGTCGTTGAACTCGTTTTCTTCTTGATTATTTATGTTCTCCATGAGTATATATATATATGAGATGTTTTCACCAATAACATTTCTCATTACAAATCATCTTCTATTTTCATCTTGTTGTGAAAGTAAAAATGTGTACTCAACAATTGGTACCTAAACGTCAGTTAGGTAAAAATGGTCCATTTGTATCAGCTATTGGTTTTGGTATGATGGGTTTATCAGGAACTTATGGAGCATTTCCTACTGATGAAGAACGTTTCAAAATTCTTGATCAAGCCATCGAACTTGGATGTACTCACTTCGATACTTCTGATATTTATGGTGATAGTGAAGATTTATTGGGAAAATATTTCACAAAATATCCTCAACAACGTGAAAAGGTTAGTTAAAAAATAGAAATGAATAAAGCTATTCATCAGCCATATGAATATTTATAACATAGGTATTTCTTGCAACAAAATTTGCATTAATTATAAATGCAGACAGATCATTCGGTGTTCGAAATGATGCTGAATATGTTCGTCAAGCTATCGAGAAAAGTTTAAATCGTCTTCAACTTGATTACGTTGATATTTATTATGTTCATTCAATTGATTCAAAAGTTCCCATTGAAGAAGCAATAACTGTCTTAAAAGAACTTGTTGAAAACGGCAAAATCAAATATATTGGTTTATCCGAATGCTCAAGTGATACAATTCGACGTGCATCAAAAATTCATCAAATATCTGCAGTACAAATTGAATATTCACCATTTAGTTTAGATATTGAAAAGCCAGAAATAGATATTTTAAAAACTTGTCAAGAACTCGGAATAGCAGTGGTTTGTGGTTCACCATTAGGTCGTGGAATATTAGCTGGACAGATTAAAAGTCATGATGATCTCGAACCAAATGACATTCGTCGATTATTACCAAGATTTTCGAAAGAAAATTTTCCAAAAAATCTTCAAGTAGTGGAACTATTGAATAAAATTGCAAAGAAAAAAAATTGCACGACAGCTCAATTAACATTGGCATGGACACTTGCACAAGGCAAAGAATTTTTTGTTATACCAGGTACAAAAAGAATCAAAACGTTGGAAGAAAATGTCGGTGCAGCAAATGTGAAATTGACGGAAGAAGAAATCCGAGAAATCCGTGAAGTTTGCGAAAATGCAGATATATGTGGAGGTCGTCTTCCAGAAAAATTTGCTCATATGGCATTTGGTAATTCAGCACCTTTGAAAAATTGAACTTATTTTATTCATTTTAATTTGTTTGTGTATTCACATTGTATTGATTGATCTCACACCTTCATGAAATAAAAAAATACGAATTTAATGTTCGTTTTTTACCATTTATATAAATACGGGAACTTCGGATTCTATTCGACAGCTAGGTTTAATACAAAAAGATGTATGAAACAATTTAGATAAGTATTTATCAGAGTGAATTATATAGAAAATTTTATGAATGTTCTTTTTAGGTATCATTTTCAGTATGTATTGGATCGATCGGAATATATTTTATTATGATGATTTCGAGAGCGGTATGACCAGCCAGCTGTACTAGCAGAAGAAATTCCGTACTGTTCGTTTCGTTTTTTGCTGTTCGAATAAGTCTAACACCAGATTAGTCAACGGGTCGTTTTTACATGAATTCGTTTGAAGAAGAATCTCCTAGCTAAATTCTAGGATATATCCTGTGTTCGTGTTATTTTCAAATTTCAACTAACAAAAAATGTGACTTTTGAAATCTAAAAAAAATGACGTTTTTTATAAAGCAACAGCTTTTGTTAGTTGAAACTTGAAGACGACAAATAACACGAATACAGGATATATCTTAGAATGTAACCAGGACATCCTTCTTTAAGCTAATCTAGTGTCAGGCTTATTCGAACAGCAAGAACTGAAAAAAAGCGTTGCTGAATTTCTTCCGCTAACAAAGCTGGACTTTATGATCTTTTTGAATTCAAAATGAAGCTTGTTTTTGACACATCTACGGATATATGGATCTAAACATAACACTGATCTTTACTCGACAAAAAATACAGCCAATTTCTTGCGTTTACTGACCTCTACTATACTATCACACGATTTCACTCATCTCATTGATAGGCAACTACTCATACTTAAACTTCTGCCTTTATTGAACTTGTATCATTGCTTACTGACACTGATCTAATGATTCTATATGAATATATCTATCTATCTGAGATGTTTATCTTGGCAAAAGTTCAAATTCGAACTTTTATCGTTTTCTTTGAAGCATGAGATTCTTGAGAGAGATTTTTCTGAAATGTATTACATCGAAAATGTCATAGCTCTGCTAAAACTCACTATTATAACTCTAAAGGCTTTTAGTTAATCAACAACAATAATAAACAATTCTATCAATTATATGAAGCTTATTAAATACTGTTCGTTTGCTGTTGAATTAAAGAAAGGCAAACAGTGTGATCGTAAATTTTCAAGAAAGAAAGAATGACACTCACTCTAAATCCTGTAGAGGACATCAGCTCAAAGTCATTTTAACTTGAACAAAATTTTCATCATATAAAGATTATATTTTGCTCAAAGTATTTTTGTTATTTAGGAATAGATTTATGAAACGTTTTAGGTCACAAATAACGTCATTTGACTTGACTTCATTCTTTAATAAAAGGTTGGAGAGAATTTCTTTTTTTCTTCGTATCAAGAATTCTGATTGTAAACTCAGTTGCACTAATACGGGTCACAATGTCATCATTAGTGAATCTACTCGACAAAATATCCGAACAAATCAATATTATTGTAGGAATCGCATTTTTCGTTTTGGGTTTCATTGGTAATATTTGTAATCTTTTGATATTTTCATCGATTTTGAAGACAAAGTTATTTCCACCAAGTCCAGCACGTCTTTATATTTTAACAGGTTCAATAGCGAATTTTATTTATGTTTCCTATTTATTATTAACTCGTATATTAATATCAGCATTTTTCATTCCATTAACAGATACAATAAGTTTCATTTGTAAAACACGTTTTTATATCGGTCAAGTTTGTATGTTTGTATCATTATATACAACATGTTTAGCAACAATTGATCAATATTTTCTGACAAATCGATCAGTACGAATTCGTCAATTAAGTCGATTATCATTAGCAAGACGAATTTTATTTCCTTTAATTATTCTTTGGATTGTAATGAATATNTCCGTGGTTGTAGTGGTGTCGGTGGTGGTAGTGGTGTCTGTAGTGGTACTAGTATCCGTGGTGGTACTAGTATCCGTGGTTGTAGTGGTGTCGGTGGTGGTACTAGTATCCGTGGTTGTAGTGGTGTCGGTGGTGGTACTAGTATCCGTGGTTGTAGTGGTGTCGGTGGTGGTGCTCGTATCCGTGGTGGTACTAGTGTCGGTGGTTGTGGTGGTGTCGGTGGTGGTAGTAGTGTCCGTGGTGGTGCTCGTATCCGTGGTGGTACTAGTGTCGGTGGTTGTGCTCGTATCCGTGGTGGTACTAGTGTCGGTGGTTGTGGTGGTGTCGGTGGTGGTAGTAGTGTCCGTGGTGGTGCTGGTATCCGTGCTTGTACTAGTATCTGTGGTGGTACTAGTATCTGTAGTGGTGCTGGTATCAGTGGTGGTACTGGTATCCGTGCTTGTACTAGTATCTGTGGTGGTACTAGTGTCCGTGGTGGTGCTGGTATCCGTAGTTGTAGTTGTTGACGGACCAGGTGTGGTTGTGGGACCAGTGGTGGTGATGGTATCCGTAGTTGCAGTTGTTGACGGACCAGTGGCGGTTGTTGTTGGCGGGCCAGTGGTGGTGGGACTACTTGTTGTTATTGTTGACGATGCTGATGTCGTTGACGTAGAAACTGTTGCTACTATAGTTAGAAAACAATGTGAAGAAAGTCTGAAAGGAATATCTTCGAATTTAGAGGTTCATGCTGGTTAAAGCATGGGAAAAGAACGAGCGTTTCTCATATGAATTTTTATGCATTGTTCTCCCTACCTGGGGCCGGTTGATTGAAAGAACAAATTCGAAGTGGTGTTGTGATGGTGGTTCCATTGGCTAATTGAATTTTCAGTGATATCAAACCCGAGCTGAACACTGATTGAATGGTTGCTTGAATACTGCCTGAGCATTTTTGAATGCATTTATCAGTTTTACATTGAGACCCAGGGCACGAGTTAAGAAAAAACGTAACAAATAGCCTGGCCTTCCTTTTGCTAGTAGCTCGGATTCCACGTACTGTATTGTCACAGGATAATTCGCTACTCAAGAGAAAGATTATATTGGACAAGATTTATAATCGAGGAACAAACCTTGTTTGACGTTTCTTCTTTCTTTTTTTTAGATTTTGAGTCGTCGTGCTCATAATATTGGCACTTATAACAGTCACTTCTTTCTTTTTATAACCAAGATAGTCATTGAACTGAAATGAAAATATTCAAATTAGAATCAAATCGTAAAGATTCTTCCAGTAATTACTTGTTGAGTTAACGAATCATAGTTTGTTAGTTGAACTGATGATCCATCGTCGTCAATATTGGTAGCAAACGATGCAGTAAGTAATCTCACTATAATGCAAAATCAATTTAAAAACTTGTGGAATTCAAATAATTTTCATGTTCATACCTTTGTTATTCGTACTAACATTTACGCCAGTACCTTTTGCTGGCAAATACACCGGAATCAACCCGAGCACAACCACTGCAGCAATTATGAACAAGACACCACCGAGACAAGCAGCAGCCAGACAAGGTACCCAAAGTGAATTTTGTCTAGACAATAAATTTTGACAGAGAAATGAAATAGCAACATATTGTATTTTCATACCCAGCTATTGATTGTGAAACTCCATCGAGATTTTCAGTACGACGGTTCGTGAAATATGATCTAATAGTCGACAGAGACATCATTGTTTTTGGCAAATCCTAATGAACTTGACTTTTCCCTATGGAAAAAATTTTACGATCCCCATTTCATCATAGCAAAATCGTACTCACCTCGAATCTCTGTGTTAATGGTGTTGATTAGAAATAAAATAAATGGGTGAATATCCATGTTTATATATAAATAGGTGCGTACTAGGAACATCAACACGCTTTTGACTGTCTCCCGCTTGTTTATGTCATGATTTGCAATTTTGCAATATCGGTAGTTTTTTGTACTTTGGATTTTTTTCTTCATCCGGAGTAATCCTATCCAATCGGAGGTTGTCTACGCGATAAATGAACATATGCACTCAAAAACCTCTCTTTTATCATATGTCAATTAATGTATTTTGTTTTTGTTCATCATCGAAGTTTAATAGCAATGAACGGAGTCGCGTGATGACGAGGATTTATTTACTACGAATAGAATAAGTGAAAAATTTCTGTGAAAATGACTTTGATTGAATAATTCTACTTTTATAAAGTAAATCTTCGTGCTCTGTAATAATTCACAAAAAAAGTTCTTAAGCGCTGTTATGAGCATAAAATGGTGAAGGTAATCAGAATAGTAATTAATTAATATATCGATAATTTGCACGTGATCACGTTAGTGTATATTTGTGATATTTTTGTATATATTCTTTTGTTTTCTTTTTTTTCCTTCGTGTTATATGCTAGCGGAAGTAGTACTTCCTTTATCGGAGTGTCCTTGACGAATATTGTCAATCACATCACTATTATTATGCCTAATTAAGGAGCGATATCATTCGTTTTAAAGAGTCATCCATTTTTTACAGTCATAAAAAGTGATTGAATTCAATTGAATATACGTCACTAAGTGGGAAATTTTTTTTCACCTGTACTTATAGATTGTCAGGTTTTGTATGACGGGGACGGCCCTTTACGTTATCTGATTTACGAATAAACGTCGGGGTTACGATTTTATCTCTAGGAAGTTTTATTGCAAATTGTTCTATCGCAACAATGAATCACTTTCATAACACATTTCACTTTCGAACGAAATCCTCTCTAAGACTTGACTGTACATAGAAGTGTAACACATAGTAGGTAGAATCTGAGCTTGAAGAAGCTCTAGGGGATGAATCATACATTGTGTTCAGTTAGAAAACAACATCAGTAGAAATATCGAAGAAATTCACTGAATAGGGATACGAGATTTCGCTTTTTTAGTTGTTCATTATGTTTTGCATACAAGTGAAGCAATTCGTTGTTAATAGAGATGAAAGAAACCATTGTTCTACCGACATTCACATTATTTATCACATGGAAAAGATACAAAAAAAACATTTATTTTCAAAGCTAAGTATACATCTATAATCGAAATATGGAAACATTCGTTGTCTCTTATCGTTGCATTTAAGAGACAGTTATTGCTATCACTTAAACGATTCAGATTTCGACGTGCCAGTTAGTCGACGTATCTATAGCAATGGATAACTACGGGAAGAAATCTGTATGGTGTGCGTTAACGATTGTGCACCAGTAAATTGTTTTCGATTGATTTTATGAGTCATGTATAGCAAGGTTATCAAAATGGTGGAACTATCACACCATTTTACTGAGTGTTTTTTATGGAGATTGAGACGATTTTTTTAAATATGTAATGTGAAATGAATATTATTTAAACAATCTGTTCTGGTTTCTTGTTCAGCTGGCACTGACTGGTCAGCGAATTGTAGTAACTCTGTTCCTGGATTTCCGTCAAACGTACTTTTCCATAATCCATTTATGAAATCTATCCATGAAAATCCATGTACTAGGTATAAACTATTATTGTATTTACACATTTAGACTGCTCTGATACCCCGATTTCGACTTTTCAATTATGAGCCATCAAAACCTTTTCCCATTTATTTCTACATTACTACTATCAGGATTATTGACGAAATTAAATCTTGGTTCCAAGATCGTATTTGTATCATCAATGAATAATCCATAACGATCCCAAACTTTTGTCGATGTTGATCTGGCTGAATTTGTTCCGCAGCAAAGATTATCAAGCGATTAAAATCATTCGATGAAATGATTTGACGATATTTAGTTAATAAACAATAAAGCGCATTTCTGTAGTCAACACACAGATCATCACATTCTTGACAAAATTTCACTCTTGAATGGAACAAACAGCAACACTAATGAGCATTTCGCGAAAAATCTTTACGCGATGTTTTAAAATATTTCGTCAGTAGAACAAGGAATGAATGTATATGTCCGAAAATCGGATTCACTTTTAGGACGCGAAAAACCAAACACGTTGAATGTTGATTGGTCGGATAAGACTTTCATACGGAATGAAGACTATAGTGCTACAATCTGTTACAACATTGTCTGGCCATATTTCAAAAGATAAATAACGAATGAGTCTTGAATAGACAGAAATGTTTATTAACAATTGGATGACGCATGTCATACGCGTGTAAAGTCAAAGAACAAACAAAATAGAAAACTAAAAATACGTGACATAGAAAGAGATGATTCACAAACCGCTTTCTTATGCATCCTCAAGATCGTGCAAAGGCACTGAATTGTGAGTAAGTATAACTGGAATTTTGGTGTCAGTAGTAATTCCATAAGACTCAAATGTACGATTGCTGTCCATGTAATAGTAGCCAACTTTAAGAGCACGGTGGTGCACGGCCAACCACTCAGAAGCAAGCAGTTTCAACTTAAGCACTTTCTCACCAGGTTCGATTTCGAAGATCTTCGTTCGACCAGTTAATAATATAGCAGTGATTTTCATTCTTTTGAAAACAACAGAAGAATGAATTAGAAAAATAATCCGTCGAAGTGTATGTTGGATTTTTTCTTTTTCCAACCGTTGCAATGCTGTTGACTTATGATAAAGACACAGTCTTTTCTTTTTCCCGTGTATCACAATTATACTGTTTACGACATTTTCACGCGATTTTAAGAAAGAAAATGTGCGCTGTCTTATGCGTATTAATCCATTTCCTTTACTGATCTTGTCCAAGCAACCATCACTACGATCGAGATAACATAAAAACATTGTGCATATTGCTTTTAGTAAACTTGATCTGACCATCTACGCAGAACTCTGCCTTCTATTTTGTTTTACACTAATGAAAATCTCGCCATTTTTACGCGTAGCTTGGATAAGTGCATGTTCAGAAACATTTGACGACGTGTGAGATGGAGATTGAGAGCGCAAAACTTGATTTCAGATCAATTGAAACCTACTTCCAACAATCGAGATGCTCAATTCTAACCAGACAACATCCCAGGAACCAATGGATATAGTGAGGATGCATTGCTTGTCATCATAAAGATGAATATTCCACGTTCTGATGACCTTGTAATTCCTGTATAGAGCTGTGATGATTTTGAAGAGGGTGAAGATGATTACACCGATTTGATTCGATGTGAGGTCTTTTTTCGGTGTAAAAATGCATGCTTGATTTGTATATGTATTAGATTGAATTTAATATTTTACTAGTCAGGAACATATCGCTATAATATCCTTGCTCATCGTAAAACTCGAGTAAAATATAGTTAATTTCAGCTCCAAAATTCCTTCAAATTGATGCATGAAAGTTAAAGCAATTTTTTCTTCGTAATTTCTTGAATGCTGCTATAGTTTCAATAAACATATAGAACGTCATTTATTCGCTTTTTTGTTACACGTGCTGTCACTCTCTTTCTTTCCTGTCGAGTACTATTGCGTTGACTTTCTTCTTTTCTACACAGTACGACATCATTCACACAGCCATTCCTGCATACATAGTGTTTTGTCGTTGACCCTTTTCTCTCTGTGAAGTACGATGTCGTTGAACTTGTTTTCTTCCTGATTATTTATGTTCTCCATGAGTATATATATATATGAGATGATTCCACCATAATAACATTTACCATTACAAATCATCGTCTATTTCCATCTTGTTGTGAAAGTAAAAATGTGTACTCAACAATTAATACCTAAACGTCAGTTAGGTAAAAGTGGCCCATTAGTATCAGCTATTGGTTTTGGTATGATGGGTCTATCAGGAACTTATGGAGCATTTCCTTCTGATGAAGAACGTTTCAAAATTCTTGATCAAGCTATCGAACTTGGATGTACTCACTTCGATACTTCTGATATTTATGGTGATAGTGAAGATTTATTGGGAAAATATTTCAAAAAATATCCTCAACAACGTGAAAAGGTTAGTTAAAAATATAAACGAATAAAACTATTCATCATTCGTATGAATATTTATTACATAGATATTTCTTGCAACAAAATTTGCATTGATTATAAATTCAGACAGATCATTTGGCGTTCGAAATGATGGTGAATATGTTCGTCAAGCTATCGAGAAAAGTTTAAATCGACTTCAACTTGATTATGTTGATCTTTATTATGTTCATTCAATTGATTCAAAAGTTCCCATTGAAGAAGCAATAACTGTCTTAAAAGAACTCGTTCAAAACGGCAAAATCAAATATATTGGTTTATCAGAATGTTCAAGTGATACAATTCGACGTGCATCAAAAATTCATCAAATATCTGCAGTACAAATTGAATATTCACCATTTAGTTTAGATATTGAAAAGTCAGAAATAGATATTTTAAAAACTTGTCAAGAACTCGGAATAGCAGTGGTTTGTGGTTCGCCATTAGGTCGTGGAATATTAACTGGACAGATTAAAAGTCATGATGATCTCGAACCAAATGACATTCGTCGATTATTACCAAGATTTTCGAAAGAAAATTTTCCAAAAAATCTTCAAGTAGTGGAACTATTGAACAAAATTGCAAAGAAAAAAAATTGCACAACAGCTCAATTAACATTGGCATGGACACTTGCACAAGGCGAAGAATTTTTTGTTATACCAGGTACGAAAAGAATCAAAACATTAGAAGAAAATGCCAATGCAGCAAATGTGAAATTGACAGAAGAAGAAATACGAGAAATCCGAGAAGTTTGTGAAAATGCAGATATATGTGGAGGTCGTCTGCCAGAAAAATTTGCTCATATGGCATTTGGTAATTCAGCACCTTTGAAAAATTGAACTTATTTTATTCATTTCAATTTGATTGTGTATTCACATTGTATTGATTGATCTCACACCTCCACAAAATAAAAATAAAATACGAATTTAATGTTCGTTTTTTACAATTTATATACATACGGGAACTTCGGATTCTATTCGACAGCTATATCAGACTGAATTATATAGAAAATTTTATGAATCTTCTTTTTAGGTGTGATCATTAGTATGAATAAGTCTGACATCAGATTAGTCAACGGGTCGTTTTTTAAAAGCAGCAGCTTTTGTTAGTTGAAACTTGAAAACGACAAATAACACGAATACAGGATATCCTTCTTTAAACTAATGCATGTCAAGACGACTCGTTCACTAATCTGATGTCACGCTTATTCGAACAGCAAAAACTTTAAAAAGCGTTGTTGAATTCTTCCGCTAACAGAGCTGGACTTTATGGCCTTTTTAAATTCAAAATGAGGCTCGTTTTTTACATATGTATGGATCTAAACATAATACTGATCTTTATTCGGCAAATACAACCGATTTCATGCGTTTACTGACCTCTATACTATCACACGATTTCACTCATCTCATTAACACGTAACTAATCATACTTGAACTTCTGCCTTTATTGAACTTGTATCATTGTTTACTAACACAAACATATATGAATGCATACGAAGATGCACTGTCAGTCCCTACTAACAGTGATCTAATGATTCTATAATTGTATACATGAATATTTCTATCTATCTGAGACGTTGATTTTGACAAAATTTCAAATTCGAAATTAAACTTTTATCGCTTTCTTCGAAACATGAGATTCTTGAGAGAGATTTTTCTGAAATCTGTTACATCGAAAACGTCATAGTTCTGCTAAAACTCACTATTATAACTCTAAACGCTTTTTAGTTAATCAACACGAAAAAACATTTCATTCACATAATTGAAAATAGCCGATTTAAAAATCAACAACAATAATAAACAATTCTTTCAATTATATGGAACTTATTAAATAATGTTCGTTTGATCAATTTGAATGGAACAGAGTAAATGAAAGTGTGAAAACAATTTCACTGTTCGCACCAACATTCTTACCCTCAAATGCCATTGAATTAAGAAAAACAAATGTTGTGATCGTCAATTTTCAAGAAAGAAAGAATAGCACTCGCTCTAAACCATGTAGAGGACATCAGCTCAAATGTCATTTTAACTTGAATAAGATTTTCATCATATAAAGATTATATTTTGCGCAGTTTTTTTTACTTTTTAGGGATAGATTTGTGGAACGCTTTTGGTCATAAATAATATCATTCTACTTGACTCCATTCTTTAATAAAAGGTTGGAGAGAATTTCTTTTTTTCTTCATATCAAGAATTCTGATTTTGAACTCAGTTGCACTAACACGGGTCATCATGTCATCATTAGTGAATCTACTAGACAAAATATCCGAACAAATCAATATTATTCTAGGAATCGCTTTTTTCGTTTTGGGTTTCATTGGTAATATTTGTAATCTTTTAATCTTTTCACCGGTTTTGAAGACAAAGATATTTCCACCAAGTCCAGCACGTCTTTATATTTTAACAGGTTCAATTGCGAATTTTATTTATGTTTCGTATTTATTATTAACTCGCATATTAATATCGGCATTTTTCATTCCATTAACAGATACAATAAGTTTCATTTGTAAAACACGTTTTTATATCGGTCAAGTTTGTATGTTTGTATCATTATATACAACATGTTTAGCAACAATTGATCAATATTTTCTGACAAATCGATCAGTACGAATTCGTCAATTAAGTCGATTATCATTAGCAAGACACATTTTATTTCCTTTAATTATTCTTTGGATTGTAATGAATATTCCAGTCTTATTTCTTTATAATTTATATCCAAAACCAACTGGAACATCAACTGTATGTACAGTTTATTCATCGATTTGGATGTTTTATTATACATATATCCAAAGTTTAGTGTTTCTTTGTATAATTCCAATAGCAACTCTTATTACATTTGGATTTTTGATTAAATTTAATCTTGAAACTGTACGACAACTTCATCCATCAATAATTCGTCAAATGACACGAATGATTTTATTTCAATCATTAGCAATGTCTGTATCATTATTCATTACTACAGCTCAAATTATTTATCAACAAATAACAAACAATATTTACAAAGATGTTCTACGTAATTCACAAGAAAATTTATTCTATACAATTGCACGTCTATTCAGTTTTGTTAATTATATTGGATCGTTTTATATTTATTTCTATGCATCAAAATCTTTGAGAAAAAATTTTCGAAATCTACTTTTAAATCGACCGATTGAGTCAGTGACAAATACAACAACAACGAACACAATTCTTCAGAAATCATACAATCAAGTACAACCAACACAAAACTAAATATTCATAAAGAAAAACATTTACTTTTGAAATCTATTCTGTCACGTAATACGGTACATTTCTACACGACATATATGTGTGTCTCTCTTTTGTTCTTAATCTTTCTCTATGTACAGTATATATGTTCATTACGAAGAACCGTATAAAGTTATATTATGTAATTAAAGTAAACAGAAAAACGTTCACTGTGAATGAGATGTACAACATTCGGTAGTTTATAAATAAGTATAATGGATTAAGATAAACTCCATTCATTGGCAGTTTTTCACTAACGACTTAAACCAGCATCGCCTTTACACTTTCCTTCGTTTAAACGATCATATTTCTTTGATTTCCGAGAATCTTTACTAAAAGTTGAACCATCACTTTTATATCTCGGTTTGCATTCTTTTCAAGTTTGCTCATCACCTGCCATATGCTCTGACAGAGTGCAAGAAATACTTTTTAATTTAGATGATGTATATCCTCCAATGCACGTCGATGTCCTGAATCGGATAGATTAACTTGAGCTGGATGAATGTCAACACTATGAAAGCCCCAAAGAAAACCTTTTTTCTTGTTGGCATCAATCCATGTTTCTTTGCCATCATCAAGATCAGCTCGTTTCTTCCAAGTTTGCATACAATCATTGGTTGATTCTGAATAACGAAAATCAGCATGAATTGCACAATTTTCAGCGTCAGAAATGGTCAGATTACGAAATGAACCATGAGTAGCAACAATTTCGAAACGAGAAGAACAAGCTCAATGTCTTACATCAAGTAGGAATGCAAAGAGTATTGTGCGGGCTTGCAATATGGATATAACGAATGTTGTTTCGATAGAAATTAACAGCAGCTACTTGACTCATGTCTTCAGGAGGAATAATCATAATATGTTCTCAATCTTCATTATGCGAATCTTGATTTACTTCGCATGACTTTTCGTAACCATAGAACTACCGATACAAAATCCGGGCTTGTCTATCTTCAGTTCGAATTATGTACGTAATATGTCGGAATTAGTGCCGCACGATCAAAACAAAGCTCTAGTGCAAACTTTTCTGCATACATACGATTACGTATAGTTTTTCCACAGTCACAGGTCGTTGTGTTTATTAACTTTCTTTTCTTGATCTTTGTTTCGATATATCATCTTTGTTTTCTGGCTCATTGTTCCAATCCAAAGCAGAATTTGCATCTTCTTCTTCCAGCATATAGATCAAAGAAAACAATTGTTCCATCTATAGTCAGGACAGTTAATTTGTATTCATACTATAAGAATTGGACATAAATACATGTCGATATCTGTTTTTGTCATGCTTTAGCACTTCATAATAATATTCCAAGCATGTATTTCAATCAATAACACTATATAAAGACATTGATTTTTTCATGTATAACTATGCATGAAAATAAACAACCCATTTACTATGATTTATTGACAATATTACGCACTATATGCACCTTTTTAGCTAACTGATGTTTGTACTAATGTGTTCTCACGGGCTCCCTGACAACTTTCACGTTACATTAGTGATTTTCATACAAATTTCGTCTACCATCTATTTTTTTCAAGTTTATATTGATCTCAGATTCATTGGTATAATGCACTACCAATAACGTAACATTTACATTCTAAATCATTTCTCTGACAATTTTTATTATACTTCTTCAAAATATTTCTCTTTTCATCTTCCGTGACTTTCAAAGTGATCATCTGAAGAACTTTTACTGTGAAAATCGTCAATCTGAAAACTACCATGATAGTCGATGCATAAAAAGCAATAACTTCACAGTTTTTCAGATAAAAGCATGGCTAATGATCCGGATCAAAAAAGGATTCGGCAGATATGTCTTAAAGGTGATCTTGATAGTACTATTTCTGTGGATTCTAAGTCGATATTCATATAGGTGTTTTTGTATCGATTATAACAAATAAAAGAAGGCGTTTTTAGTTTTTAAGACACAACATCGTACATAAACTATATATATTATATAAATATATTGACTATTCATTTAATAGCACTTTACAATCATAACGTTATTCTATTTTTTTCTGAACACGTTGCTTAGGACATACCCATCGTTTTTATACATTATAAGCACATTAACATATTTGCCCTTTAATATAAAAAACCACTGTATAGGACATGATATGTCACGTCTATTGCAAAACTGATGAAAAATCAAGTTTATTTTTATATGGGTTCCTCTAGATCCACATAATACCATTCAAGGATTAAACGATTTGATCTCTGCTTTTTCAATCAATATTCTTTCATTGCTAAAACCTAATGGTCGTTATTGACTATCAAACCCATGTGATCCATTTGTCAAACATTTTCTTCGAAACATCAGTGCGCATGTGATTACGTCACTCAAATTTGATCGAACTTCACCGAAATCTGACGCTGATCTCGAACTTTTGTCAAACTTTTCGCACGTTACTTCAATAACGTTTTCCGATCCATCCGAAAATCTTTGTACATTCAAAAACTATTCTCGATGGTTTTCGAGATTGAAACACCTTTCGCTTTATTTCAGCAAGCCAATCACATTCAGACAAGCCCACTGCGCAGAAATTTGTTCACACGGAGCAATCGATCTCACAAACGATGTAAATCAATTGCGAAGTCTCATGGCAGATGTAAAGACTAATATCGAAAAGTTCGTGTTTGATGTAGATTACCAATCTGTTCTATTTGGGAACAAACGACCTGAATGTGTGCAAGGAAATTTTCTTACACCATTTTATCATATGTTGAAAATAATGCCTCGAATTTGATGTAATCAGTTCAATATCGAAGAATTTTTACGTGATGATCTATGGCGACGGGCACACAAGCAGAAGCCTGTTTTGAGAAGAATAATTATACAAATTAAAAGAGATTCGTTTTCACATGAACGAGCCTTAATCAATAAAGGTGTGGAACTTCAAACGATATTACGTTAAAAAACACGCAACAAGTGAGTTTGGAATAAAATTCTTTTAAATATTCTGTTTCTTTTTCATGAAATAACCTGGAGACTATTGAAATAAGTATAGAAGAAAAAGTTATCTTTATGCCAGAAATCAATTGATTTGGATTTTGCCCTTCAATACGTTTCTATCAGACAGACCTCATAAAATATATTTTCGATGAAAACAGCCTTCTTTCGCCGATACCCATTCCTTTAAAGCTACCTTGTGATTAAATCCCTATAAGAATGGCAAGTAGAGACCGCACTTGCTTTATGAGATTACGGAATATTCAAATCGTTTTTTTGATAGAAAAAGACTTGAAGGTATTTTGCAATGCTTCTTGCAATCCTACTCAAATGTTGCATCATCTTTCTGATAATAAATCCAAGCTTAACTGACAATCCTGATCGATTTGAATTCGAAGATTGTGGCTCATCAGGAGTTATTATCCATGAAATTGATATGACACCAAGACCATTTATTTATCCTGGTGTTATCAGCGCAAAACTAAAAGCTACCGTGAAGCACTCTATATGTAAGTATTTTCGGTCGTAAAAATAGGCAAAGTTTTATTTTATCTTTCTTTTGAGCGTCTTTCGATGTGAATATGAATATCGTGCGTACTATCAACGGAATCCAGTTACCAATTAAGTGCTTTATTTTCGATGGCGCTAATGTTGGATCTTGCAGATATTCTAGTGACAAAGTATGTGATCATATGAATTTTTGGACTCTAAATGTGACACAATCATTCGTGCATCTGGTACCTATGATGAAAATATTTAGTCTCATTGTCAAATGCCCAGAAAATACCATATCAGAGCAATACGTTGATATTAATAACTATCAATTCGAAATACCTGATATTTCAAAATATTTCTCCTTTCTGGCTTCTGGGATATTCAACACTACCATAATAGTAAATAGTCCTAATGATCCATTTGGGCAACCTTTCTTTTGCGGAAAATTCAAATACGTTTTGAAACCTCGACAATAGTGTAAAAGAATTTGGAATTGTAACGGATAATGAAATAAAAATTTCAGTTTAACTGAACTATGAGAAACTTCACAGAACACTATTGTTCATCGATTGAACATCAGATAAAGTCGAGTATCAATTGATGGTCGCTATAGCTCGGAGTGAGTTAACAAACAATGTGTAAATTAAATGGTTTTATCTTTCGATAGTAATCGATGAAACCGTGTAAATCAACAGGTCAAAATGTACACTTTGGCTGTATGGCAAAACATGTTGTCTAGCGTCGATGATGTTTACTAGAAACTGGTGAAGAACCAGAGATCGACAAACAAAGAAGTTTTCAATCGGAAAAGTTCCTTTTATCAGTACGAATTCGTTCGCACGATTTTATATGGATTGAAAACACTAATTATGAAATAATTCGAGCTCATTCTATAGCTACGTCATGTTAAACGCTATTGAGAGCTGCAAAAATAATTCTTTATAAGTAACGTTCCTTTTTCATAAACATTGCCATGAAAACAGAAAGGAAAATATAGTCAGGTGAGAATGACTCATCGATGATACATTAACATATCAGTTCACGTGCAGAAAGAAAAAACCCAGTGTGCTCTTATAAAAATGCTTCCACAGAGAAAGAAAAGCGTTCTTGATTTAATTTGTTACGAACAAATCTATGACAACAGCATCGAATTTAGCTGCAAGCAACAATTCAAAGTTAGAGACTTATGTCAAATGTGGTATCTGCTTGGATTTTTATGATGATCCTCGTTTGCTTCCATGTTCGCACACGTTCTGTTACAAATGTATCGAGAAACTATGTGGAGACGGCATGGGACAATGTCCAATGAGAGATAATTCACTTATATTTAAACATACAATCCACCAATTGCCGATAAATCGTGTAGCAAAGGATCTGGTCGAATCTATTCAAAAATCTTTCACATCACAATCGAAATGCGAGCAATGCAAACAAAGTTCCTCTGAATTTCACTGTGAAACTTGTTCCAAGCACTATTGTACAATATGTTTGAGACGCGAGCATGATTTAAATGAATTCAAATCTCATGCCATTGATTTCATCGTGAATGCAAACCCCAATCATTGCTGCGCAGAACATACCGAAGAAAAACTCAAATATTGGTGTCAAATTTGCGAAAAAGTGGTTTGCAGTGACTGTTTACTATTTCAACATCAACATCACTCATTCGTCCAGCTAATTCAGTTAAAAGACAAAATTCAAACGAATCTTCAATCATCTATTCAACAGTTAACTTCTATGAAAAATAGGATCGAGCAACTGAGTACGAATGCATCAAAAGATCTACAGAGACACTATCAAACACATGTGGAAGCAAAAAGTTACATTGAACGAACATTTGATGATTTACAAGCACAACTAGAACAACGAAAAAGTCAATTAATTAATCAACTTACTTTGAAAGATACTGAGCAGCAACAACTGATCAAAGAGAACAAAGATCATCTTGGACAATTTCTCAAAACTCTGTACATGAGAGAATTATTCATCAAACAATTGCTCAAATGTGAAGACATTAATCATTTAGTTGAGATGAATACTGATAGTATTAACTATAGTCAACTAATTGAAGGACAATACGAAGAATTCCTTCAAGGACACACTTTCGATCTTCAGGATTTTCTCGTTGGAAACGCTTTAAATGACTTACAAACGCAAATTAAAAGTTTTGGAGAGATTACAACGAACACATTTGTAAATGATGGGAATCGTATTCGTCAATTGACAAATCTATCTCAACTATCAGGCCTAGAAAAGCCACTACAACTTAATGGAACGTATGCGTATGGATATCGATTTGATCTGAAAGCTGCATTTAAGCTCAACACATTGCGGATCAAAGCAAAACTGCATAACTGTAAATTAACAATCTTCATCATTGATCATCACGATATTCTTCGTGAACAGAAAGATTTCAGTCCACCTCCTTATTATAGTGGTTCGATCCGAATGAATTGGATTAACATTCCAATGCATTGCCAAATTGAACATAATTATGGTTTATTTTTATGGGTGAGATCAAATGGAAATCAGATTCCTTTCATCGCTTACAAAGATTCTAATCATAATTTGCGTCGAATTAATGAACAAATATCTGTAAGAAGTAAACGTGCTCAAATTGCGGATCCAGTAGAAAGTCTGAAACTAAGTTCGAAGATGAATGTTCTTTATGACGGTCTGTGCAGTACCGAGAATGATAAAGAAGTCTCAATACCAGCATTAGAAATTATTTTAGATATATAAATCATTGTGAACACGAATCTTTCAGTCTTTGTATTTTACTTCTATTTAATAAGGAAATTCTTCGTATGATTACATCGAGACCAGTGCGGTAAACTAATTGCGCAGATACTATCTGTTGCTAGTTGCGGTGAATAATTCGATGACGATGGAGCTAGAAAACAAAAAATAACGATTCCGATTAAAAGAAGAAGAAAGTAGTATTACTACTGAACCCGGTATGAGTTTCTGTGTCAGTAAAATCATCTAGGTCTTCTTTGATAATATCTTCCAAATATGCTAAAAGTCTTTCACGAAAATTTGAATCCTGAACCTTTTTCTTCAGATCAGTTGGTTTTGATGTTGATCTCAAGTCAGATTAACCAATGTAAATGAAGCGAACCGTGGCCTTGACTCCCAACAGTGCCAATAATAATTGTATTCAAGATATTGAAAATTAACGTATGAAAAATTTGGCTGTTACAACAGAATAAGAAACTATGATATCAGCACGTCTGTATGCATCCACAAGCTGTTCTGCATTAAATATTTTCTAGATCAAGCTTGTTGCTGGCAAAATATAATGCGAAAGGATTACCCGTGTCGCCTCTTTTTCTAGGACTGCGTCGCATTTGCGCGCAGTGGCCTTTTTGCGGCACAATTGCGCGTAACTGCGCCGCAGTGGTCGCAGTCAGAGCCACGTCAAGAATACTGCGCTTACTGCGTCGCAGTTGTGCGCATTTGCGACGCAGTTACCGCATTTGTCTAACTCATCTATTGGACGGTTTTGAATAATAACCGTTAGTGCTAGTAATCGAGTATNTCAGTGAACAACAACAATACATCGATACAATACGACTGATATTCAATTGTTCGGCGAATGAAAGAGTCGAATGGGAATTAGTGAAAAGTATACAATCGGTGTCATATTCACCATGTCCACAACAAATCCGATTAAAACAAGAAAATAATCACGACCAAATCTATGTTATTATTCTCGTAAGTTTTCTTTTCGAAAATGAAATCAGCGTCATATACGTTTCTTTGCTTTCAGACGAGTTGTATCGCATTTTTCTCTGTTATCATCATTGGTATAATCGGTTTGATTTTATTTCATAATTTCTATGTAAAAAATAACCAACGATCGATCTCTGTGAGTTCAATTTCGCTAATCGAACGGTTCTAATTGGAAATTTGTTAAAATCTTTGTTTAAATAAAGAATTGTCATCGAAATGAATCTCTTCATAAATGTTATTCGGTTTCTTTGTAGAGAGATTCTTTATGGGGTGATGGTAAGCGGGAGATTTGGTACGGCCGGACTCGTCCATGATAGGTGCTTCTATAAAAGATAAACTTTAGTCGAAAACTTTTCAATCACGAGAAAAATTTCTGAAAAAGTCTTCGTACCGATTGGTTGAATCAATATGTTGTGATATTGAGGAAAGTGTCCCATCGGTTTGTGAGCTTCTCTTGCTATGTAAATGCCAATAAACTGAAATAGAGAGAATAATTGTGATCGATAGTATTCCCAAAGGTATTAAAATCTAAATAAAATGACAAAATTGCGGAGGTTTTACGGGGAAAAATGTGTCATTACAAGAAGAATGAAATAAATGGATTCGGAAGTTTTCTGTGTTGTTGAAGTTGACGACGAGAGAAGATTTGATGTTATTGTTGTTACCAATTTCGGACGTTGTGGAGCGAATACAGATGGAGAAGTAATAAGTACAGAACATGGTTTTCCGTCATATTGAATAAAAGAGTTACAATACAATTGGATTTTGATGATAAACCATTGAGGATCATCGGGGTCGTAATGAATAAATCGTTGAAGAAAAAGTTCGTTTGGAAGGTTTCGCACATAGATTTGGTAGGAATCGATATGATTTCCTAATCGATTGAGATGATTTTCCTCGGTCGGTCGATCATCGACATGAATTTGATTTAGATAGATTCTCAGTAAACGTGTTTGTTGAGATTTTTTCGGGAATAGAACCGATAATTCCCATCGAGTTTGATCGAGAAATGCTTGATAAGTTTGAAACGACGAAAATGCAAGAGAAACGAAATTCGCTTTACACGTATTCGGCTTGACAGTTAATGACAATGGATCAAGATATTTGTGACACTCGTTACTTAAACATAAATCACTTGTTGAATCTGCATTTTTTATTATATAATTACACAAATGACCGAAACAATTTGTGAAATTGAATGTGAAGAATATGAAAAGAATAAACCATTTCATTGTAAAAAATGCGAAAATAACTTTCGATTCGTTTTCTGCCCACAAATAACAATTCGTTTAACATTCCGAACGCATTCTTTTCGATCTCCGCCATTCAATTCGTCATTTTGTTGTCTCAAATCGAACTAGAAATGAACAAGTTCAAAGACAAAAGATAAACTTTGCTTTGTGTACACGAATATGTGAATAGGAAACGATTGATCGATTACGATAGGGTTGATTTCTAATGAATGTATATCTATTGGTTCGATGTGTATACATGAAAGTATGCAGATAAGGAGAGAGAGCGATAGAAGAGAAGAAAGAATAACATGACGTCAGATGAGTGGATATTCTTTTCAAACATTCGCTTCGTTTATTTCGCTTTTCTCACTCAATGGAAGGAGAATATGTTTCGAACATCAGACTTGAATTGCAACCAAGGTTTGTTTTCTTTTTACCATGAAAAAAAAATGAAAGAAGATTGCTTTCATTCGAATGATATTCAAGATCTCGTCGCGGGTATCGTCGGTTGTTTGGAATACGAGAAAATCCTTATTTTAATGAAGATTTATTTGATCAAGAACAATTCACTCGACAATTTCTTAGCGAATACAATCGAAAAGTTCTCCGACGAGGACAACACGTAACAAATTTCCCAATCTGACCTCGAACTTCCATCGCTTTCTCTTCAGGTTAAATGCAATAACTTAATTATCGCTGTTAAACAAATCATCAGTAATCATTTCTAGAAAATCTCAAAATGAAACTTCTCTTCTTTTTTTTTCAGATGCTCCAAAGGCGTTTGAAGGCAATACTGAAGTGGAATATCGATTGAAAGGTCTTCCATTGAAGTGAGTCATTGTATCGTTGAATGCGCGTTTTAACCTTTGACTTCATATAGAAATAGACAAGAGCATTCAATTGATAAGGAAAAAGGCGCGTTAAATAAATCATTTCTGACTGACAGAAGTGAAATAACTGTTGGCGATGATATAGACAACGAAGTTTCTTCGTAAGCCTCTAAATTTGTCTTAACAGTGAAGACAAATTCGTTTCCTTCAGATGCTATTGTTCTGATTGTCGAAAGAGTTTAACAAATGGTGATTATCTAATTAAAACAACGAACTGGAGTCGACCAATTCTTTGTCTATCTTGTTACGAAGATCATTACACTGAGAAATGCGTTCGATGTTTCAAAGCAATAACCTTTGATCGTAAGCGAACAAACTTTCTTTTTCGAATTTGATTCGCTGATTTTTCTAGCGAATTCGATCAAATCAGATGGCTTAGTTCGTGTTCATTACGTTGAAGCGCATGGTTCTTATTGGCATTCGGAATGTTGCGTGTGCGCCGTTTGTTTGAAGTCATTGATTGGAGAGAAATTCTATCAAGATCAATATTGCAATCAACTATTTTGTCTTGAACATATTCCTCTTCAATATCTTTAAAAGAAAAAAAAACACATCTTTTTTTTTTCTACGGAAATAAAACGACCGTTTAACGTTGGTGTGCAGAAAGAAGAAAGAGAAGCGAATATTTATAGAAGAATAATTGCATTATATCTTTATATGAGGTTCTTTTGTGTAAATCAGCATTTGATCTAGTAAACAGGAAGTTTGTTCATTAAACAAGTAAAACATTGTTAGACTTTTAACGAGAGCAGATGTAAACTAAACGAGATATGTAATCCATTGAATTCAACGTTCTTTTTGTTCGGCTTTAGAACGATCGATGGCTGTTCCATTCAACACTCCGATAACAACGTTAGTTCTCTTAATTATCTTCTTATCAACTTTGGAAATCTGTTCAAGTCGTTTCGTTTGGGATTTTGGTTCATATTGTTTGAATAAATGTGCCAAAGCAAGACATAAATCAACACCCGTGAGTGTTTGTTCATGCCAATGGATTTCGTCGAATTATCGGCGATCATTATTAAATACAACTCTGAACAAATATTCCAACTAAATGTATCCAACTTTGAATTGAAATAAAAGAAGAGATCCTGTGGGATTCCTAGATGAACAACATTTGCTGGTTTGTGAATGCCCGAGGAACGCGTTGGTGGTGTTAACGTTTCCAAACGAGTGCTCTTATTAGTTTTCTCATCGTCATACTTTTCTCTAATTGATATGAGACGGAAATATCTCTCTTTTCATTTTTTGACGAATATTTTACCAGATAGAAAAAGATTTAATTGAAAATGAACACCACTAGCGTCATACTGTTATTGACGTGAATCTTTTTATTAGGAGAGAAAAGAACGAGAGAAGGTTTTTAATGATCATTTGAAAAAAATTGATGCACCAGTCATGTCTATTTTCTTTTTTTTTTATATATATTTTAGAAGAAAATTCCATGGATTATTTTTCTAAATCGTCATCGAAACAAGTGATTTTCATTCTAATAATCTTACTTTCCCTATGTCAAATATGTGAAAGTCGTTTCGCTTGGGATTTTGGTTCGTATTGTTTAAGTTATTGTGCCAAAATGAAGTATCGAACAAGTCCTGTGAGTGTTTGTTCATTAAACAAGTAAAACATTGTTAGACTTTTAACGAGAGCAGATGTAAACTAAACGAGATATGTAATCCATTGAATTCAACGTTCTTTTTGTTCGGCTTTAGAACGATCGATGGCTGTTCCATTCAACACTCCGATAACAACGTTAGTTCTCTTAATTATCTTCTTATCAACTTTGGAAATCTGTTCAAGTCGTTTCGTTTGGGATTTTGGTTCATATTGTTTGAATAAATGTGCCAAAGCAAGACATAAATCAACACCCGTGAGTGTTTGTTCATGCCAATGGATTTCGTCGAATTATCGGCGATCATTATTAAATACAACTCTGAACACATATTCCAACTAAATGTATCCAACTTTGAATTGAAATAAAAGAAGAGATCCTGTGGGATTCCTAGATGAACAACATTTGCTGGTTTGTGAATGCCCGAGGAACGCGTTGGTGGTGTTAACGTTTCCAAACGAGTGCTCTTATTAGTTTTCTCATCGTCATACTTTTCTCTAATTGATATGAGACGGAAATATCTCTCTTTTCATTTTTTGACGAATATTTTACCAGATAGAAAAAGATTTAATTGAAAATGAACACCACTAGCGTCATACTGTTATTGACGTGAATCTTTTTATTAGGAGAGAAAAGAACGAGAGAAGGTTTTTAATGATCATTTGAAAAAAATTGATGCACCAGTCATGTCTATTTTCTTTTTTTTTTATATATATTTTAGAAGAAAATTCCATGGATTATTTTTCTAAATCGTCATCGAAACAAGTGATTTTCATTCTAATAATCTTACTTTCCCTATGTCAAATATGTGAAAGTCGTTTCGCTTGGGATTTTGGTTCGTATTGTTTAAGTTATTGTGCCAAAATGAAGTATCGAACAAGTCCTGTGAGTGTTTGTTCGTGTCAATGGATTTCATCGAATCATCGACGAGGATTATTTGACAAGTTTTTGTTGAAGAATAACAACGATTTTTTTCGAATTAAATAACTTCTTATTCCAAATAAAAAACAAGTTCAAGTTTCGATCGAAACCTATTCCAAAGAAGAACGGCGTCCTTTTTTTTTAACTTAAATACCGATTAACTTTTAATAAAGTCTGTGCGTTTGAGCGAAAAGAACTTTCTTTTCATTGGAACAGGCTAATCTGCTATAGCTGATAATCATTTAATTAGCTATCAGCGACAGCACTGATGCTATACTCGTATTTAATATAAAGCATGAAGCTCATAGTTAGAAAAAGTTTTCTTCGACTATCAGCACAGATCTTTATAACAAAAATTCTTCACCCGTAGCATTCTCTAGTTAGCCAATGCTTTTTTAGAAGATTTTCCAGGGACAGTGTAAATAGCAAACGTGAACTACACATTTCATTTCGATTAGTAACTGTACTTTTATGTGTTACGGCCTATAATCACGGTACAAAGTCCGGGTGGAGAATCATATAATTTAGTAAATACGATTGTCTGCTACGACTATTTTTATGCGTGTTTCCTTGATTACTTTCCAGTTCGTTACTCATCTATTTTATCACAAAACGTATTCATTCAGTAAGTAATGTAAATTTGTATGTAGTTCCGGGTTGATTATATAGTATATTTCCTGTTCTTATGATATCTCACATCCAACTTACCAGCGTTCACATGTTTATCTTCTAGAATATAGAAGAAATTGAATGAGTGACAAAAAAACATGCGTCTCCTATATTTGGCAATAGTTGCACTAACAAGTTAATCTCGTCCATTCTATTGTTTGAGTCGCTTTAGTGTAACACCATCGATAAATCAAATCTACAATCAGATTTCGGTTATTCAAGAGATTCTCCCCTCCTCAGAAATCGATTCCGGGAACAGTGCAACGGAAATTCATGAAACTTTCAGAAGACAGAATACTTGATACGAAAAGAATTTGATAAAATTTTCATCCAATCAATTGTTACAGATAAAAATTTATTCGCCAAATACTCACAGAAACAGGACTTTCCGTTCGGAACATTTTTGGAACCGTCGGTAGCATTGGGAATGATGAACTTTTTTTCATCTTCAGTGAAATTTGCATTGAATGAATCAGGCTGATGGATAACGGTTGAGCTCTTCATTGATCAAAATATTTAAAAGGTAGCGAGTCGCTTCTTAATAAAATCCTTGTCAGTTCGAGGAAAATGAAGAAAGATGATTCGTACTGAATCGAATTTGTATTCATATTCGCAATGATCGACACATGTGTACGATGGACTATTTAAATCAAGTGAAACACGCTGGCCACGATTATCATGTTTTGCGTCTATGACAATGCATATGGAAGCCCATTTCATGCAAAGGACAAATACATATGGGTCGATAGTCATACATCTCAAATCGCATGAACGTGCGCAGTGACCAATCCCGTTGGAATATTACAAGACTGATCCAATCATTTCGAATTATATCGACAAATAGTCTTCTCTTGATCAATGTTATTTAGAACAACGTTTGCCATCAAAAACAGTCGGTAGAATATGGATTGCAAAATTCTTCTTCCGTACGATTTAAGTTACGATCTCGATTTACAATCTCTAATGAATAAGTGCGTTAATTTGATGTGAAAACGAACGGTTCTTTCATAACTATCATCGATTAGTTGAATGATAATTTTAGCAATAGAAATCCCTAATACATAACGTTGTTTCATCAATCGCACCGAGACAGTCATTTATTTTATTACTGGGTAAACATATGAATCGTCTGAACAGGTCGAAACGCGTTGATGTTCATCAGTTTCATTTTGTCCAGCTTCGCATCTTCGGCTGAGGTGATTGGTGGTAGCGGTTTGCTTTGATTCTATCTTCAATGGTTACATTCCTCTGCAAAAGTTCAGAAAAAGTCAAATTTGACGTACAGTCACAAGGTTCCATTTATACAATAGGTTATTAATTGAAGTATGAGACCTAATTCTTTACTGAGTAAATACATTTGAAAACAATCAATGTGCAACCCATATCTATTGTTGCTACTTAATAATGAAAGTGAAGGCGAGTGTGTATGTACTGAAGAGCATATAGTTGTGCATATAGCTGTACGTATATACGCCCTCTAGTATGCACATGTTGACTTGACTATTTAAATGATGTTTTTTTGTTGTTATATCTCGCTTTTAACTAATAAAAAATCCACATAGTTACTGCACTAAAACTGAGTTAGAAGTAAAAAGCAATCGTTTTCTGTATTGATACGGTCCATCGTCAAGCTGATGCTGACCATTCAATTGTTTGAGTCATTTTATCGTCTAACAAGTTCAAATTAACACCATAGATGAATAAAATCTAAAATAAAATCACACTATTCTAGTAGAACTTAAACGGTTAAGTACGAACATTATCATTCGCATTGTAAGCAAAATTTGGGTACGATTTGCCATTGACATTCACATTTGTCACACTTTTATGCACACCAAGAACTTTCACGCCACCTAATACAATAGGCAAATCTCTGTACTTCGTCAACAGAGCATATATTGTCAATGTATTCTAGAGGTAAATGCATTTCATAAATCTCAAAGAACAATTGAAGGCTTACTGATGTTGTCACATTGAATTCAAAGTAACTATACGACTTAGTTTCAATAGTATCTAAATTCTCAAATGAAATTATCTGTCGAACTCGATGTTCAACATACCCATGGAATCTCCATCGTCCCAGAATAGACTTCCACTCGCACTTCCTGATTGAGATAGAGCAACAAGAAATTCTAAAGGATTCGTACGACCATAGACGAGGTTCGGTCCTGGAATCTGCATGGGAATAATAAATCCACCTCGAACATGAACATTGATCTTTTGAATTGGCGTTTCGAAATCGACATATTGTCCCACTTTGTTTATTTGTATACCTGAGGGAAATTCATACCATACATCTTGTGGAACATATGCATGAACTGTCGTTGAATTCTGAAAATGATCATTCATGATGATAGACTCTCGATTGTGTATAAATGTATTTACTTGAAGTAGATTTGGAGAAACAAGAAGAGCAGGACCGACTAAGAATTGTCGATCGATATTATATGTATTCTCATCGTTTGGATATCTAGATGAAAATGAGACTTGGTATCGAACTGAAGGGAAGAAGTTGACTACTCGAAGAAAAGTGGTTCGATCACAGTTGTTGAAATTGAACTTGCTTTGAAGAAGAGTGTATACCAATATGGAAGTAGAGAATATCTCATAAGTAAGGCTTGTTTCATGATTTGTTGGGCTTCCCACGAGAAAACTGCTGGATCTTGTGCCTGAAAATTGAATTCATCTAATCATGTGTGTTAGCGACATGATCTTTACCTTGATGCCAATCTCATTATGATTTCTCATAAATGGATAAAAAGCACCTAATTGCATCCATTTTGTACATAAATCTTCCGTTGTTTCATCATTAAAACCACAAATCTCTGCACCAGCAAATGTCATACCAAATATGTTGTGATTAAGAATAGCTAATTTCATGTTTAAGCAAATTTAACATTTTCATTCTACATAATCGAAAAACATACTTGGAATTGACTGATAGAGATCTTGATAAGTCGCAGCATTATCACCTGACCAATGCGTTGTGTAATGACCTGAGCCAGCAAATGTCGATCGCGACAGTACAAATGGACGTTTCTTGAGAATGGTTCTCAAAGCACTATCAGACATACAAATTATTTCGATTAGGAGAATATTAATTACTCACATGTTAGTAGCTTTAGCTTCGAAATAACCATACATGCTATGCAAATTGTAGTGCGATGATAAATATTGTTGTGCTGATGTACATACGGTTTTTGCGGTGATATTTCCGCCATAGACATCTACTCATGCCAATAGTTATAGATCTAGGGAAACAGAAAGTACATACGAGGAGTGTATGGCGGGTTGTCTAGAGAATTCGAAGTGCAGCCTTCATGAGATCCATCGACAAAGTTCGATGGTTCATTCATATCCTATGATGAGAAGTATAGAGATTGAAATGACAAAATGAGATAACATTTACAATCCACATGCCATCAACGGGAATGATTTCATGATAAGCTGCAAGAAATTTAGTCCACCACTCCACCGTTTTAGGATTTGTAAAATCAGGAAAAACAGTCGGACCTGGCCAGACCTCCCCAACAATGGGTTCGGTAGAATTGTATTTGGTAATGAAAATACCTTGTGCCAATCCTTCATCGTATGGTGGATAAGTACCCGGTGGTTGTGTTGAGCTGATACCTGGATCGATGATATTCATGTAGTGTCTACCTTCGGCTTTGATTTTACGAACGAGTTCAGGTAAGCCGTGAAAGGTTTTGTTATCATATGTAAAATCAAGATGAGCGTACATTGTATCGATATCAGTCCATTGAATATCGACGGGAAAATCAGCATCATGCATTCGCTACAATAAGAACCGACAATGTATCTGCAAATAGCTCTTTAGCATCAATTACTTGCATGACTTCGGTAAGATTTTCAATTGTACCATATCCCCAACGACATAAGTGAAAGCCAAGAGTCCAGTAAGGTGGGAACAATGGTTTCTAGACTCAAAAGAGACTCAGACTAGTACCTGACGAGTCGTATCTTACTCCGATGACATCCCAATACTGTTGAATAACATTTTGAACTGTCGGCCCTGTGAAGACGTATAGATCGACGATGCCCCCGATAGTAATATACGTCAAAGCAGGCAATGGTTGAAGGTTCATATCCATAGCATTGGCATTCAACATGAATTGACCATGAAAACTCGTCTGACCGGTCTTATTCAATTCAAGATTGATATGAAATGGATGAACACCTAATACGAATATTTTGGTTATTATCATTTGTTAGAACACGTTCTTACCGTAAAGATTCGTATCCGGTCGTACACCGATATCTCGTGTCCAAAATGTTAATCTCTTCCATTCGTTTGTAATATTGATCAGCAGTGGTTGCGTATGTTCTCCAAGACCGTATAACAATGGACTTGATAAACGAGTGGAAATATGAATAAACTGATCGGCGAAGATCAGTGGCGATAGACTGGAATCGAATCTGATTGGAAGAAAACTCTTTCAAAGAAAAATATTCAGAAAGATTCACTTACAATGTGACACCCGTCGATTTCCGAGTGACTAGGATTGCAAATGGCTTTTGAGCAAGTTTAACTTCATAATCAATCATGTCCGCTTTCTTTTCTACCACGGGCACATCTAATGGCACTTCGAAGCGTTTATTGAATGTATCATAGATTCGAATACGAAATCGTTGCTGTGTTTCATAGAGAAGGTCAACTGTCAAATCCAAAATATCATTTGGCATAAATGTCGTTTGTGATTTGACGATACGAACTCGTTTACCGAAACTAGTTGGTTCGTTCGACACGATCGAATATGCAGGAAAATCCGATGGAAAATAACATAATGGAACACTTATGTCTTGGAAGCTTTTGCGATGTTTTTCGGTTGAATTTGTATGCTGAATAGGTAACCGCCAGCAACATTTGCGTGCCTCACACCTTTCTTGCGAAGCTCCGTCGTCTGGATGACAATCGAAACGTGCGAGATCGACACTCTGCTCGCATTGTTGTGTATAGATACAAGTTACACAACACAAGATTATGAAACTCGTGACGAAAGGCCAGCGTATCATGGAAGTCGAGATGATCTGCAGAAGAAATTTCTGGTGAAAGTCTCCTCTGATCAACAAAAAAACAACCACTACCTAGAATAAAAGGTGTGATAAGCAAACGCCCAAAGTGTAAGATAACCAGCGAACTCTTTATTCAAATATCTTTATGAAGAAAAACTTAAGAAAAAAAGCAACGAAGAAGGTCGTATGGTGAAAAGGTAATACGTAGACATAAGATATATGTTAAACGTTTGCGAGACACTCTCAATATAATTTCATTGAGAATCGTAAGGTGGCGGTGGTGATTCTTCATCAGGCGATATCACTGAGTGTTGTCTACGTGTTCTCCATTCGATTACAGCTTGTTGTACTATTTGATTCGCGTGCAATTCCATTAAAAGGAATAAATCAAATTCAGGATGATCATAAGGACTGACGTAAACATACAATTGTTTGATATAAGTTTCGAGGTCTTGTCGATGCTGTTCGTGAATTTGATTGCCTATGTGAAATAGAGAGTGATGACTAGAAGGAAACGTCGGTACGGTGCATCGTTTTTGCAGTTGATGATGAAGTTGCTTGAATTCATCGAATGTATGTGAGACTGACCATTGACCATTTTGTCCAGGGATAATTTGTTGGATATTTAAACAAATTTCAAAACGATTATGACCACGCTCATGATGAAACGATGGAATATCAATATCGTTTTGCAGGCGAGGACGGAATTTAAGTTGAGATTTGAAATCGGGAGAAGTTAACTCTTGATGACACTGATTTGTTGTGAGCATTCCGGGAGAATAATACGGTCGTCGGTAATCGAAACCAACACTTTGCAACAACTGCGAAGGTACATCTCTAAGTCTTCCTTGAAAAAAACGAACAAAGTCGTCGTCATTCAAATTTGGAGTGTCACTGTATGAATCAATACCAAATTCTTGGTGTACTGAAGTAAATGGATCCAAACATCTGAACACGCCGCCTGATATGGCTGCAATCTGACCCATAAATTCTCTTGGTTTTGGATCATCGTCTGTATGTCCCATGATAAATGCAACTGTATGTATAACACATGGATTTCGTCGCTGACGTAACCATACTTTTAGATCAAGTAAAATCGTTCTTGTATCCATTGATGGTTCACCATCGGAAAGTAAATAAATTGTATCTGCTTCTTCATCTCCGAGTGCCTGCTTCAATGCATTGTACGTATTCGTTTGTCCATGCGCTTCCAAATCATCGAGATAATGCTCTGCTTGCTTTAGATGAGAGGACGTCGCTGATGTCAGTCCATGCTTCCAACTGTGAACGTGTGTACCGAAATGGATGATATTGAATCTGAATTGAGCTAATACACGGTGATGAAGAATTTTATGCAGATCGTGAACAATAAATTCCAGACGATTGAAATATTGTCCACAGCCCGTTTGAAACTCAGTACTCATCGAACCACTTGTATCAATGAGAAAAATCACTCGAGAACTAGTCACCGACCCGTAAATATGCGATTGGCCACGGACTTCTGCCAGAATTTGGTCGACTTGTGGAAATAAGTAGGATGGGAACAGGCTTCTCAATTGAAAGCGATTCACTGGATCTAGTAGATTCTCGTCGATGACTTGCAAAGCGTCCAGACGTTGTTGGGGCACCGAAATCATTTGCAACAAAACCATAGCTTGATCACAACGAAAACCAAATAGATGATTATCAAACAGATGAAGAGCGAGTACGAGTTCGGTGCCAGAGAAATAGGATGCTAACGTGATGACTTGTTCACCGCTGAAAGCTTGTGGACAAATTTTCATTTCGTAAACCAGTGTTTGAAGACGATCCGTCGACTGTTGACATTGAGATAATTTAGATGTCAGTCGATTCATTTGCCGTGGTGAACGAACACCGTATATGGGAAGCTCATGATGTTTCTCCCATGCTTTTGAATGAACAAGATGAAGACCATGGCGACCCATACGGAATTGTTTTTACTGCTGTAACAAATAACAACACGATCGTTATTTCAAACGTTGACTCTACACGTGTGAAGCGACGCGACTTTCTTCCTTCTTTTCTTTGTAAACGTCATGGAAGAGAGCGAAGAAGGAGGAGGCGTCAAGCGCAACGCGTCTTTTGTTCAGTAGTTATGCAATTTTAAACACTGGTTCATTACATGATGAACAAGTTCTTAAAAAAACCGATAGGATCATGTACAGATGAATAAAATAGTTTTTGTCATTGCATTGTTTGTGTTTCCAACAGTTACCTTTCTGCCTGATGTACTTTTTTCTGACATTCCGGAGGTGAAATATAAAAGTGCAAGCGCATGGTTTCACGAATGAAGAAAGAAAAAGAAAGGAACAGTCTTTTTTTATTTCTCGCGCTCGATTTGAGTCGCTGCCAATGTTTTCTGATTGTAAGAAAAGCAGTGTCTTTCAATAAATTGTTATTATATTTCTATCACGTGCAAAGAATTCTCATCGGACTTTGTTGCCATACGAGCCGGAAATGTTCAATGGTATAAATAAATCGAAAGAAATTAGATCGACGCAAAAGCAAAGTCCTCGGATGTTCATTGGATTCACTTAATCAACTGATCAGACATTAGAATATTCAGTATGATATGGTTGTTCGACACTTGACAGAAAGAACAATACGAATAGCAGCTGAAAAATATTTGTGTACGAATCTTTGCAGTATCGATAGCTTGTAAATTTTCATACAGATATTGCAATGCAAAAGAAATGAGTAGTGTGAAGAACATTATGTGTTTTCCAGATACAAATGTTAGCTTCGGAGAAACAAAACAAACCGTTGCAATTGAAAGAGTAGGATGAACTGATTTTATCTCCTCTTAAATTTAGAGTTTTGCCATTTTTGAAAATACAAGACACTAGCAGTTGGGCGAGGCGAATGTAATGCTGAAGAACGTCAGAAAGATCAGTCGCAGACGTTCGAATCAGTAATGATAAATTAGAGTTTTTATTGGACATGGATTTTAACCAAGGCCACTCTTTTTTTCAGACCGAAAATAGATCGGCAACCAATTTGAGGAAAAAGAAAAATTAGTATTTTTCTCTTGAATGTTCTTAGTGGTATGAAATTCAGAATGAAACGATCATCGTAAGGCCGTCATTCACAATGAAAAATGGTAATTGATATATTGACCAAATAGAAGAAATTTCTTTTCAGGGAAGTTTATTATTACGAATACAGGTTAGCCGGTTTTTTTGGACGATCGATGAGAGTACATAAAACTACGGTAATAACCAGTAGATCCGAAAAGATGATTTAAAACAAGTATATTGAAAAATACTCTCTTAGATCTTTTTTGGTCATTCTCTTTTTCAGTTAGGAGAAATAATTAAAATGCTCGCAGAAAACCTCAATAATATTTACAGTCTGATTGTGTACGGAAAATTTCATTCTGTTTCTTCTTTGAAGGAAAAAATCCAACTCTCACGTTTCTTTATGTGTATAATTCAGCACTATTCGAACCCGATCCAGCAGCTATCAATACTTTTCCATCTGATAATATCGATGCTGTGTGAGAAACTCGAGCATGATGTACATTTCCAGTCATTGTCCATTTACCGGTTAATGGATCGTACAATTCAGCAGTCCCGTTTGCGTCTCCACTAGCGACTAATACCTTTCCATTGAATAATACCGATGATGTATGTTCATATCGTGCAAAATGCATGTTTCCAGTCACTGTCCAAATCCCATTTGTTGGATCATATAATTCAGAACTGTTCAAAGGGGATCCACCAGCCACTAATACTGCTCCATTTGATAATACCGATGCCGTATGTCGAAAGCGTGGAAAATTCATGCTTCCAGTCATAGTCCAATTACCTGTTGATGGATCGTACAATTCAGTGCTAGTGAGAGCACTGCCGTTGTTTCCACCAGCGACCAACACCATCCCATTGGATAAGACCGATGTTGTATGAAATATTCGTGCAAAATGCATACTTCCAGTCACTGTCCAAATCCCATTCGTTGGATCATATAATTCAGCACTTGATAGATNACCTGTTGATGGATCGTACAATTCAGTGCTAGTGAGAGCACTGCCGTTGTTTCCACCAGCGACCAACACCATCCCATTGGATAAGACCGATGTTGTATGAAATATTCGTGCAAAATGCATACTTCCAGTCACTGTCCAAATCCCATTCGTTGGATCATATAATTCAGCACTTGATAGATAACAACATCCACCAGTGACTAAGACTTTTCCATTTGATAATACTGATGCTGTGTGATCTGTTCGTCCAAAGCTCATACTTCCAGTCATTGTCCAATTACCTGTTGATGGGTCATACAATTCAGTACTATTCCAAAAGGATCCACCAGCCGCCAACACTGCTCCATTTGATAGTAGTGATGATGTAACCCTACATCGAGGAAAACTCATACTCGCAGTTGTTGTCCAATTACCAGTTAATGGATCATACAGCTCAGCACTGTTGGAATCACACCCACCAACGACTAACACTTTTCCATTTGATAGTACCGATGCTGAATGACCATATCGTCCGATATTCATCGTTCCAGTCATTGTCCACTCTAAACAAGACAAAAAAAGTAAAAACTAAACGTTTTCTCTTCTTCCCTTGTGCGATAGCTCTCGAATGAACACCAAATGAAAAACAAATTTTGATTTATTTTTAACTTACGTCCTGAATAGATTACCAAATCAAATTTCTGAATTCGATTATTTTGCTGATCAACAACAAAAAGATTTTCAAAAGAGTCAAAGCTAAGACTCGATGGATATTTTAGTTGATTTGAATTTGAGCCTTGTGATTGATAACATCCCAATAAACAACGAAAACCATTGGAATTTTGGCCAATAATTCGATGGTTATTCGAATCAGCGATAAATAAATAACTTTGATAATCTAACGCGATCCCGCTTGGACAATTGAGCTCGAATGTAAAATTTGAAGATCCATTTCCAACTAAAGTTACTCCGATCAGTCTTCTATACTTGAATAATTGAATACGATGGTTTCCACAATCTGCGACAAATAAATCTTGATTCCCTTCATCAAGAAAGATACCTTTAGGATTTCGAAGTGTTGTTGATGTTGAACCAGGAGTTCCTGTTCCCGCAACAATTATCAAATGATTCCCATCATTAATCAATGATTTCGAAATAATCTGATGTTGTTCTGATAATGAACAATAAAGAGTTTGATTTTCGCTCACAAAAATGTCAAAACATTGTTGACAAAGATTTATTCGTGGAATGGAAATCAAATTCGTCGAGTTCGATTTGATTTTACTCACGGAACTGACTGATGAATAAAATGTGTCGACATAAATATCATCTTGTATTGTGACAAATAAACTTGATGAATTTGTTAGATTAGCAGAAATATATTTGATTGAACTTAAATTTCCTTGAAGAAAAACGAGAATTTGTCCATTGATTTGATTTGGAATGTAAACCGTGTTATTCTGATTGATAAATAAATCAAATGGATTCGGTCCAATCAGAGTTTCATTAGCGATTGTTACACCATTGGGATTCCATCCTGCATCAGAAGAAAGTATTGGACGATTATATGAATAACCTAAATTAGCACAAATATTTCCATGTAATCAAATCAATTGTCCTTGTGACTATCAAGAAAGTTTACCTTCAGTCTGCTCGATGAAGAATAAAATTATTAAGAAAAACAAGTTCTCATTGAGAAACATTGTAAATAAATGAAAGGTTTCTTCTATTTCAAGTGGATTTTTACAAAAGATGATGGCTTTACTGCGAACTAAAAAATTATCAAATAAAGAGCTGATGACCCTTCCGGAACTAAAAATGTGGCAGTATCCGGGGTGACTTGTATTGGCTATTTATGTTATTTCTACCTTGGTAAATACAACAAAATTAGTGAGAGTCAGGTTTTGTTCTTTTGTCAAACAATTTGTCTTGACTGAGTGTTTTCCAACAAGACTGTTTCTTTATTTTAGAGGGAGAGCTGACAATGGATATTTGACTTGTAATATCCAAATAAAAAAATGTATGTCCCAGATTTCTTTTTCCTTTTGGTAAACATTGTAAAACATGAACAAGAGAAATTTACATTTCAATTCTCCTACACAGTTTTTTGATAGAGATGCAATCGACGAATAAGAGAGTTTTCAGCGAATATTGTGATCATAGAAACATCGAAATTCAAGTGTCACTTCCTCTACTTGAAACAGACACACCTGGAACAGGCAAATTGATAGTATTAATGTGTTTAATTAATTTTCACATCACGCATAATTGCGACAAAAAAAGCTGCGTTGAGATCGTATAGGAGAAATATGTACTCAAAATGATGTGTTGATGTAATTATATAGATACATTGGTTTGCAAAAAAACTTCGCCGAAAACTGATTATGGTGTTAGACACCTTACACGCTCATCTTTAGACTCCTTCAAGCGATTCTTCTATGATTAGTTTGCTGTTGCTTTAGATAAAATACTAGCATAAAAAGAGTTACTAATGTGCGTTCTGGATAAGTTTTCTTCTATCTATATCTTCGATGAAGACTGTTAAAAGAAAAAATTTTCTCTATTACAATATTGGAGCTACGGCAAACAATTCGCTCATTTTGTTCGCCGTAAAACAAACATTCCATCGTTGACTGTTAAGTACAATATAGACCAGTTTAAAAAACAAAGTCTCTTGAGCATTGAGATAAGAAGAATTAAAAAGTTTTCGAAAAAATCAGCACTAGGGTAAAAATCGACTACCGTTTTAGTTCATTTGAAAAATACGAAAACTGCTTAAATCTAACGCTCATCATAAAAAAAGGTTCATTGAACATCATTTTAGAAATTATGGATTTAGATAATTGGAAAAAAATCGAAAAATAAAACCTTGAAAAAGTGTAATTAATTGTTTTGTTGGCTTCCAATTTTTATAATTCTGATCTGTATTTTTCCTGTGAAGATGAATGGAAAACTATTAAAAGATATTACTGTGTAGTGTTTTTTTTGTGGCCTATCAAACCATACTAAAACTAATAAAAAAGAAAGTTACCTGTCGGAGCAGTAATGAAAATAAAGTGGCCAAGTTTTTTTGCAAACCACTGTAAGTCTACTATTTGAATCTTCTGAGAATAACTCAGTAGCAATGAACAGAAAATAAGAACGAGATTGTATAATGATGTACTTACATGTCTCACGTTCAAATAGGCATATATTCACATATTTGGTGTCCTTTTCTTTTCTTTTTTTCTAAGTCATATAGAAATGCAGACTTTGTGATCGAACGCCAATTCTTGTTCAAAGTTGAGTGTGAGTATACGAGGTCTATTGTCACGCTAAGTTTAAACGCTGAGCGTATGAATATCGATCATTTTGAACTATTTGCTATTTTTAGACATACGAATACCGAATCATCATGACGATTTGTTTTCAAAAGAAGTTTTATATAATGTTTCGATTGTTCTGTGCACCGTCTGAGACAATACTCATATTAGCGCATTTACGATGAAAACAATGCTTCTATTGATTCTCTGTTTGAGAGATGTTTATTCATAAATTTCAAATCTTATTGTTATATTTTTGTCTATAGGTGTATGATTAATTTTGAAAACAATACCATCGATTATGCTTTTGAGAACTCGTATGTGATCCAAAGCTTTTGAACACATTCTGGTACATAATTACATCGTCGGATTTGTTCGTCAGTGTATTGATCATCTATATGAATTGCTTTAGTAACACGCATAAACGTTGCATAGGACGGTCTTCTCGCAGGTGGATCTTGTAGACAGGTATAAAACTTAGATTTGGCTCGTTCTGCAGCTTCTTGATATTCTTTCGAATCGCTACTGTACGAAAAAGATTGTATGTGTACACTGTACGTAGTCGATAAGGGTGAGCAATCGATGGGTTCAGTTGGCGCATACGGATCTCTTGTTTCATCTGCCTCTAAAAAAAAGAAATATTAATGTTATCTACTGATAACACTTTTTTATGCAGCTGTTTGTCAAAAGTTAATATCATTTTTTAGAATAAAAGTAGACAATTACGACTGCAATGAACTTCTGTCTAGGTTCTTATTCTTATTACCTGATATATCCGATACAGAATTTGTAATCGTAGAGCTGGAAGATTCTTCATAAACTGCACTCAAGTCACGTTTGTGTTCTAAAATAAAAAGCAATACAAGAATGAAACACTATTTTCATTATATATGATCACGATCATGATTACCTTCTTCGTCGCTTGAATCTAGTCCGGTATTCATCGGCATTTGAGGTAATTTATCGGACAGTTGTTTTAGATTTGTGTTGATTTGACTCGTAGTCTCTTGAGAAATTTCAAATCCCAACGGTCTCATGACACTATTGTTGAGCATTTCATGATAGACACTATTGAGAGGTTCAATGACCGTTTCGAAATNATGAATATCTTTTGTTGTCAATGACGGAGGTAAACGAGATCGGAAACAACCAGTTGAACCGCCCATTTATATAACATAACTGACGAGAATGACTTGTTATTTGTCAGTGTGACAGATTTTTTTTCTTTGTCGAACAGAAAAATAAGCAACGTATATCGTGTCACAGATGTTTGTTAATGATAATGTTCGAATGTATGATCAGAACAAAGAAAACAACAAACGAATCACGATGAAACATTGTTCAAATAATTTACTTTTTATAATTACAAAAAAAAGAAGCGAAATTCATTTTTATTTGTTCATTGAACAGTTCAAATAGAAGACATAAAATCGATCGAATGTCATCGTAGATTGGTCAGATGGAAGAATTAATTATCTTCCACTAATAAAATGAAAACAATGATAAAGCACTTTGAAACACTCAATCGCATTATATCGAATAACGCGATAGTTAGTTATATACATTAGAAAAAAATTTTCTTTTATCATACACTACAAGGCTTCGATAGACATCTATGTCGCTATACTTTTTATCCAATTATTTCATTCGTTAATGTAGAAAATCATCTCTTTTGCTCATTGTCAATCAGCAATTAAGAAGAATGTCTGTTTCGTTACGTCCATTAGTTGGTATTGCTGTACTTGCTGTTTATCCCAATCGTTATCCTAATTGTGTACTTATCTCTCAACGGTTGGCAAGTCATGGCAAAGGTGGACATCAACTACCGGGTGGTCATTTGGAATACGGTGAATCATTCGAAGAATGTGCACAAAGAGAATTGAAAGAAGAAACAAATCTTTCTGCTTCGTCATTTCGATTAGTTCATGTAACAAATACGATCTTTTCACAAAAAGATGGACAATCGAAGCACTATGTAACACTTTTCATGAAGACAATTCTCGATGACGATTCAACGTTGAAATGTATGGAACCGGAAAAGAATTCCGAATGGGCTTGGACAAAATGGCATGATCTGAAAACAAAGACACTTTTTGCACCTCTGGAACAAGCTGTCCATGATTCCAGTTTTGATCCATTCGCTGACTAATCGAGTGAATGAAAAGATATTTTCTTTTTCAATAAACTTCAACGATAGCAGTGAAAGCGCTCTCTTTCAGAATATTTCTAGTTTAGAAAAAGCACGTAGAAAAAAAAAAGAAACTTTATTATAAACGTGGAAGAATTCTTCGCATTCGAAGACCATGTCTCTGTTTTGCATTGATATGTACGGGACTGAACATATTGGACATTTTCGTGAAGCTGGCATACATCACTACAGCATGTATAGGCATTAACACAACCATCAAAACAACGTTCATAGTTAGTATTGAGCTTTTGCATAAGTCTTCCTATAATATA